TAAAGGATCCAGTAGCCACTCCTGGGTTCCCTGAGGGACCTGGACAGGCTAGGGGATAAGGTGGGGAAAGACATTGAACAATATCCCATGTCTCCTTATCTGTTCTCTTTCTCCCCCCATTTTCTGACTCTCCCTTATTTCTTCTCCCTCTGACTACACAAATTCCTGTTGTTGGTGCTCTTAACCATAGATCTCCACAATCTCTTTGAATAAGTCCTTTCTCATTGTTGTTCAAACATAAGCATAAACACTGACAAAGACTAGCATCATCTGACCCAAGAGGAGGCCATCTAAACTTTTCTGCAAATTATACTCAGGCCAGATAAAATAATGAAACTTTACCATTGTTTCCTTAGTTATTTCTGAGTGAATGTGTAGGTACTCCCCAAGATCTTGACATTCTCCCCAAGCGACTTTGCAGGTGTATTTCGGGATCATCATCCCAGTTGTCAAGACCCATTCTTGACTTTCCCTTACTGCCCTTCCTGGGCGTCCTCCCTCTTTTACTCACCGAATTTCCCATCGTACTCACCGATGAGGTTCCCAATGGTCTCTTGCTGCAGATCTCTTCACAGACCCCTGCGGTCTGTTGCTCATCTGTCTCCTGAACAGTCTCGGGTACCTAATCAATCAGTCCAGCGCCAGCAGCCGTCGAAGGGAGGTGATCACTGAAGTTTTGATGAGGTGTGCCGTCAGCTCCATTTGTCACCCGCTGTCCCTGGAAAGTGGAAAGATCCCAGACAAGCCCTCATTTGTGCAGAAAACTCCGTTGCCAGAGGTCAATGTTCACAAAGGAGACAGAGAAGTTCCGGAAATAGTTGACTTTATTTGAATAAAGGGAGAGTCCACTGGGGCATTTCCCTGTGTGGTCTCCCAAATTGCCAGAGGATGCAGCCTCCATTTTATCCTAATTCCCTGGCCACATGTAACCCCCTTCTTCTCCCCTTTGGCTGAGTACTTGGAAGGTACAGACTTCTTAATCTGCCTACTGCATATTTTCCTCTAACATGTACCCCCTTTTCGCATCATACATATCATACGTCACATGTATCATTAACTCTACCTTTATGGCGCCCAGAGGTGGAAAGGTTAATATTCATAAGCTTATTAAACATGCACACTAACTCAAAAGGTGAAAAGTTCGACATTTGTGGTTTTACACTTGTCTAACTTTTACAGTTTTTGTTAACTCCCCTATTTTTCAACTAACTTCTACAATTTCAGTCAACTCCCCTATTTGCAAAGACACTCCTATCCCAGCTTATCAAGATAAAACAAAGACACCTACCCCTCAATATATGGCTCTTTAGAGCTCAAAGGAAGAGGACAGTTCTGCCCACCTTTTAGAGCTGTTGCTCCTTCATCTCACAGGAATTTACTCCAGGTGCTGAGTGAGTAACTCCTCATGGAAACATCCCACAGACACCCACAAGATGGCTCAGAAGCTTCCCTTGTTCAGAGAGCTTTAATGCTCACTAGATCATTATTCACTGAAGATAATTCAGGCAAGCACAGCTCTTTTAAAAGACAATGTCTACAACTTGGCTGGACATGAACTCACTCTCAGCTGTACCTCTCTTGCATTCAAGAAAACATAAGCAAGTATTTAATTTATTCCTTCCCATGATTTAATTTAAAAAAAAAAAAAAAAAAAGGCAACCATTCCCTGGCACAGGGAAGTGCTATTTATTCCACTTCTCGCAAATTATATCTCCTTTATTTCCCTTAGCCTCACCATTCTGAAACACATAATCAACACAACATTAGTTAATTTTTAAGCAACTTTAGCTATGATGTGTCTCAAATTATTTATAGTGTACTTTCAGTAACTTCACAAATTACTCTGGGAATAAACTCTACAAATGTGCTGGTATAATGGAGAATTTTTTCTATACATAATTCAAACAAGTGTGACTGACAAGTGAGGATGCCTTTCTTGAAACCAGTGTGCCCGTTTTATAGCTATGGATGCAGTTCTGCTTCTCACACATCAGTGTTTCAAGAAACTTCACAGTTCAGTCACCAGCACTTCCAAAAATTCTTTCAGCTTCACAAACATATTATACTGAAGATACAGAAATTTTATCTCATTAAAGCGATCCTTTACATTGCACTTGATGTCTGAAGATTTTTTTTCATGACCAGTCACAGTGTGCAGGAAAAGTTTTATAAGCTACAGCACAAAATCCATCAGAACAATGTAGACTGCACATTTGGAAATACAAAAACTCTTCAGGCAGTTTAGTAATGAAGTATCAGGCTGAATAAGCTCCACAGCTCCCCCATTCTATTTTACTAGCAAATGGTCTGATGAAATGAAGGGCTGAAGATTTTAAACTTTGAGGTTTTATCTTTTTTTAATACAGAGCTTTTGAAGAAATACTCAGGTAAGAGGAATAACTTCCAAAAACCCAATTTCATGGATCTTCTATCAAGTCCTAACGCAATATAAAAAACTTGCCTTACTTGAGAGCCTGACAATGTTCCTCATGAACACTGCAGTCTCATAACAGTCATTGCAGGCTGCAGGGTTGCTAAGGTGACAAAAAATACCCGGAGGGGAGAGCTCACCCCACTTATATCTTTCTGTGACTACAGAAGGGAACAGCAACATCAAGTTTATACTTCTAGAACTACTGACTCCCATGGCAAGCCTGTAAGCTTTAGGTCAACACCCACAACACTGTATTATGGCAGAACACTAGAAAACATTCAACAGGCACTGCCTTCATCTGAACTGCTGAGACTATCACAGACAAAGCAAGCGTAAGAGAGTTTGCTGTTGACAAACTACAGAAGGGGAGAAGTCTCATGCCTCTTTCCTTAGGGCAGGTGAGGCTGGGAATCTCTGCAATAGAGACAGAAGCTGTTCAGTTGTCCTCTGCCACCGTAAGCCTGGGATGCACTTACCTTCTTCACATCCTCACAGCAGAAGGAACCACTTCAGAAAGTGGCAGATAGGTAAAATTAAAACAGCCAGTGCTAGACAGCCTTAAAATGGTTTGACAGTTTTCAGAGGTTCTTCTAACACACCACTGTTGCATGAAAAGGCGGGGGCAGCATAGTTTGGCACTATTAGTCTACTTGCATTCAATTTATTGAACTATCACAGTTTGGATGTACTAAACAGGGTACCGCACTTTCAGCTTAGTCGCGCTGCGTGGACTCGCACTCTCACACTGGAGAGTCTGGCGGCATCCAATGAGAAACTTTTACGACTCACTTAACAAATACTGCAGTTTATTAAAGCAACAGAACTACAGGTGATAAATATACTGCCTACAAAAGCACATGCAAATAATAAGATTATAAATAATACAGCCTGGCTATAACATGCAGTAAATCAAAAGCAATTCTATAAAGGTTTCTAAGTTTCCTGGGGAAAAAAAGTCCAAATTCTTACCCAAAGGCATCCCAATGCGGGGGAAGAGAGCCTGTCAGCTAACCCCAAAAGTCGGGGGAAATTCATGGTGTTATCTTTCCCGATGGTATCTTCCCTAACATTCCCCATTTTTTGAGCCATTTTTATATTATTTTTTAGCTTCAGGGTGGAGCTTGAGGGACTCTAGTCATAAATGCCTTTATTATGCTTGGTGTAAAATTCTCTCACCTCGCATTTAAAGGTATAGTTTATGAAAAATTCAGGGCGCAGACTCAGGGAAGAGTGATCACACCATGGAGGTGGGTAGCCTTTGGGATGGAGGTCTGTTTTGGTATTATAATGACATTATGATGAGCAAAGTTCACACAAAGGATGGACTCTTGGCCCAGGATGGTAATTGTGCAGCTTATCAGCTCCATGGTACCCTCCAGCTCCCATCTTCTACGGTGTTATCACAGAGGTTGGCCACAGAGTCTTCACTTTGTTCCACCCCCTGTGTGGCTTCATAAGCAATTATTCAGGGAACACTAGGGAATGGCCTTGCATACCAGCTGCAGCTGTACTCCACCCTGGAAGCTCCTTCAATGTTACATCATTCCCTAATGTGTGAACAACGCTAGAATTTAAATTTAAAGTTGCCCCTGGCAACTTTAACTTCCACAACCACCTACCACAGCACTGAGAGCATCAGTTCACAAACTTGATGCTCTTCCTTGGTGGTTTGAGGCTATGTTCTGTCAGGGACAAAAGCATCAAGTCCATGAGAACAGAGCAGGGAAGCTCTCTGCTGCCAGCAGCTCCACCTTACAATGTCCCCCCTTCCCATGCCCCAAAGCAGAGCACCTCTCCCAGTCTTCACAGCAAGCCAGACAGGCACCAAACCAATACAGAACCCAGATTCTATTTCTCAAGCTATGCCAACTGATTTGGATGGTTTTCAGCTCCAGCTGGGCAGTCAAACCAGAGCTGACAGAGTGGCTAACGTGCTTATACGCATACAACAGGGAAGGAAAAGAGTGCACTGGCTGGTACTATGCCCGGCCTGGACTCCAGTATCTGGCAGAGGACACTTAAAGCAACCCCTGATGCCATGCAAGAAATACCAGCCAGTTCCCGGATCTCCACTGTACTTATGCGTTTACTTTAAGCATTGATATAAAACCCTAATCTTGGTGTAAACTAGACCTGAAGAGACACAAACATTCAGAATCAAGTGATCCTAGGCACTCCAAATCCACTCACACCGACATAAGTCCTACTTCAAACATGATAGGAAAGTCAGACTCTAATGTTCAACCATCATTATATAGGAGATTTCAAAAAATGAGAAATAATGAACATTATTTCTCCCAGAAGACCTCTGTTATAAAGTCACCTTACACGTTACACAGAAAAGCCACCTCCTTAAAAGCAAATCACTCCTTGGACAAAAGAAAACAAAGAACCTTTTGCCTGTGTCCCTAGCATCAGATGCCCAGATGTGACTGTATTTGTAGGAGAAGTTCTCATGCATCATGAACTGCCCAGGTGTTAAGAATGACAGGAAAACTCACTGACAACCAAAACATTTCTCCTTTATTTCAAGAGATTCTTCTTTTTCTTTTATTCTTTCTTTTTTTATGCTGGAGAGTTGGAGCCGTCAGACAATATTCGTCTGCAAAAGCATCTCTTCTAAGCTTCCTGTGAAAATAATGCAGCAGAACTAAGTTTGGATTCTATTTCACCTTCCAGTCCCTCCTCTATTTACAACAGTTCAATTCCCAATTACTACATTAGATCCTGCTTTGAACTGTTTTGTACTACTAATATCAGACCCCTCTTCAAAGGCGTTCCTGCCCAAAATAACCCCTGCCATATCCTGCCTTTTAAGACAGACCACAGTACTTCACTACATGCAGCTAAGAAGTAGGACACATACACGGTTCCTGGGACCACGCTGCCCGTGTTTCAGAGGTAGTGGCCTTTCATGTGCTGTTACCCCAGTGCTGAGGTGGGAGCACGCCGTGCCAGGAACATTCTGGAGACATTCACAAGAAGGCTCAAAAGATTCCCCTGTTCAAAGAGTTTAAAGGCACATTAGTTCATTATACACCCAGCACTTCAAGAAAACATGGAACTTAAGGCACAATATCTACAAATGAACCAGTAGACATTAAGCAGCTGCCAGCTGTACCTATGACATTCATTTCTCTATTCAAGAAAGAGTAAGAAATACTTAAGGTGATCCTCTTCAAGCCCTGCTCTGCCATTAAAATAAGAAAATTCAGCTTTCTTTGGCAACATGTTCTTTATTAGTAGCTCTGATTTCCTGTTTCCCTTCATCCTTGAAACATTGGGAAGCACAAACAACACAGTATAGTTTTAAGCAGTTTTTCAAACAGTATCCAGCATCAGTTACCTCTTTGCTGACAAAACAAGCGATTAGATAAATGATACTGTCATATTAGGTTTTGAGCACCATTTGACGTGTACTTGTAAGAGAAGCTATCTTGAAACAGTCTACGTCTCTAAAACAACAGTCTAGGAAGTATAGAAATCAATGGTGACACAACCCTTTCCAATCTCCCTTTACCAACTGGCTTTGCCCATGGTGTAGGATGGTCTGCTTTTCTTTCATTCTGGAGTTGCTGCTGAGGCTTTACCAGACACCCCTTAGGTCCAGGTCTTGCATGTTCTCCTCTTGCACCCATTGTAGTCACTGTGCTGCTCTTGCTGGGTGATTTGTGGTGATGAGGCACATGGAGGTCATTATCTGAATCCTCATCAACACCACGCGACCTGTGGATGGGACTCAGATACAACTGCTGTGTGAGTCCCATTGGTAACGGAGTCTGTCACCTTGCTGTCAAAAGGCTGTCACCTGACATCCATTCTGAGAAGTGTGGCCCTTACCAAGACAGGACTTAGCCAGCACTTCTCTCTTTCCTTGGAAAGTCTTCATGTGTGCTAGGCCTGGTCTGGAGGCTTCTCCAGCACCAGCTTTCCCTCCTGATGCTGCTCCCTTCTTATTCAACAGCCTTTTACACACAACTTCCTGCAGGTCAGGCACATCATCTGAATTCAGCTGAGCACCTGCAGAATCTCCCTGCCTCAACACCAGCTCCAGTTCTTCCATGCTCTCATTTTGTTGAGAAATACTGGGATTTGTGTTTCCAATATTATGTTCTTCTAGGCTTTCTCCAAGTCTAACTTCCTTTGGCTCTTGTTCAATTAGGTGTTTCTGGAAGGCCAAAACCCTATGGACACACTGCATGAGCCCCCACCTCTGAATAGCACTGCCCAATGGACGTATTTTGTGAAACACATTGTCAGATGGCCCACACTCTTTACTTGAAGGAACAGTCCCAAGCTCTGGCACTATGTTAACAAGGAGTGGGACGTGGGGAAATAAAAATATTCAACTCCAACTCAGATCAAAGAGTCCTACTGAATTAGATTAACAACCCAGAGAAGATTTGCTTACTTTCTAAATCCATCAGTTGGACTACCTGCAGAGTTTTCTGTAAGATTTGCAAGATCCAGTGTGTGGTCACCAAGCTAAGCTCTGGGGAATATAGACTCCAGAAAGCATCCTGAAATAGGCTACAGTTTAGTGTCAGACAAGAGTCAGATCTTTCAAATTCATTCCCCATTCTACCAGGCACCTTCACTTGAAACCTTTAGCCTTTGCTGATATTCAACTCTGCTCCTCACCACAGCTTGTACAGCCCCAGCTACCACCATACAGAATGTCTCTGTTCTCATGTATTATTTCACCTTTGCTACAAAGGAGTATTCATGATGCAGTTATAGGCACACAGTTCTTCTCCTTACTTTGGGAGGGAGAAATGCCCAACAGATATCCTTACCACACTCTGTTTCTACTTCCTCTATGGCATAGAGACTGGTAGATTCACAGCAGTCCTCTGAAACAAAGCCATCTGGCTTACTGTCATCTGTTGTGGCCTTCATCTTACTCTCAGCGATTTCTCCAAGTTTCACAGTATGCTGTGGAATTCCCCTAGGGAGGGAATAAAATCGCTTCTAGGACAAGGAATGATTTTCATTGCATTGCATTTCCCCCCGTACCTTCACTGTAAGAGAACTGACAAGACAAATTAGAATCATAGAATTAATTAATTACATTAAAATAAAATTAATGAGCTACTTACGCACAATGCTCTTGTCCAGTGACAACAGGAATCATTACAGGCACTGAAGGAAACATTCCCTCATTCTGCCAACGAGAAAGGTTTCACTGTGATTAAGCAGCTGAAACAAGACTGATAGCTCCCAGGAGAGAGCAAGGCTTCAGATGACTGAAAGCAGAGCAGAGCAGAGAAACCCAGTTTCAGTCAGCCCTCTCCTTCACCTCCACAGGTGAATTGTGTGGATGTCTGCTGGCAATGGAGGTACTTGAAGGGGAAAAATCAGAAACCAGAAGAATCCCTGGCATACAGAAGTGAAAGTCCAGCTCAAAGATGGGAAGCTGGGATGCCACCACATCACAACCCCCCTGATCTTTCTGGCCCAGCAACTGACTGCAGTAATTTCCAAGCAACTTCCAAAGACTGGAGCCCATACAAGGCTGACACACTTGTCTAATGAAGGGACAGTGCAAGTCACATTGCTGCAGTTACGTTCAGCTGCACATATACACATCTCACAATTATGTTATGGGAAAAATGAACTCTATGTAAATCATAGAATCACAGAATGCTATGGGGTTGGAAGGGACCTCTGGAGATCGTCTAGTCCAACCCCCTGCCAGAGCAGGTCCACCCAGAGCAGGCTTCACAGGAACGTGTCCAGGTGGGTTTGAATGTCTCCAGAGAAGCAGACTCCACCACCTCCCTGGGCAGCCTCTTCCAGGGCTCTGCCACCCTCAAAGTCAACAAGTTCCTCCTCATGATTAGGTGGAACTTCTTATGGTCAAGTTTGTGCCCATTACCTCTTGTCTTGTCACTGGGCACCACTGGAAAAAGACTGGCCCCATCCTCTTGACACCCACCCTTGAAGTATTTAGAAGCATTGATCAGATCGCCCCTCAGCCTTTTCTCCTCCAGACTAAAAACACCCAAGTCCCTCAGCCTTTCCTCATAAGAGAGATGATCCAGGCCCCTCACCATCTTTGTAGCCCTCTGCTGTACCCTCTCCAGCAGTTCCCTGTCCTTCTGGAACTGGGGAGACCAGAACTGGACACAATACTCCAGGTGGGGCCTCCCCAGGGCAGAGCAGAGGGGCAGGATGACCTCCCTTGACCTGCTGGTCACACTCTTCCTGATGCCCCCCAGGATGCCATTGGCCTTCTTGGCCACCAGGGCACATTGCTGGCTCGTGGGCATCCTGTTGTCTACCAGGACTCCCAGGTCTTTCTCCTCTAAGCTGCTCTCCAGCAGGTCAGCCCCCAACCTGTACTGGTGCAGGGGTTTTTTTCCTCCCCAGGCGCAGCACCCTGCACTTGCCCTTGTTGAATTTCATCAGGTCTATCCTCCTGGTTCAACTCTCCAGCCTGTCCAGGTCTCCCTGTATGGTGGCACAGCCTTCTGGTGTGTCAGCCATCCCTCCCAGTGTTGTGTCATCAGCAAACTTGCTGAGGGTACCTTCCATCCCTTCATCCAGGTCATTGATGAAAATATTGAAGAGGACTGGACCCAGTACTGACCCCTGGGAAGCACCACTTGTTATGGACCTCCAACTGGACTCCGTGCCACTAATCAGGGCCCTCTGAGCTCTGTCTTTCAGCCAGTTCTCAATCCACCTCACTGTCCATTCATCCAACCCACACTTCCTAAGCTTAGCTATGAGGATGCTGTGGGAGATGGTGTCAAAAGCTTTGCTGATGTCAAGGGAGACAACACCCACCACCCTCCCGTCATCTATCCATCCAGTCATGCCATTGTAGAAGGCTATCAGGTTAGTCAGACATGATTTCCCCTTGGTGAATCCGTGTTGACTATTTCTGATAGCTTCTCTTCCCCTATGTGCTTTGAGATGACGTGCAGAACAAGCCATTCGATCATCTTTCCAGGAATGGATGTGAGGCTGCGTAGTTTCCCAGATCTCAGAGACTGTCTATTGCAACGAGAGCATTTAGTCTCCTTACAAGAAGAGGAGAAGCACAAATAAAGGAAGTATTAATGATTAGAACCAGGGGAAACCCAACAAGACCTCTCCTGTGTAGCTAAATGACTTGTTAGGAGTCACTGAAGTTCAGAAAGACACCTCAGAACTATATGGAGCCAATTCTGACACTCCCCATTACTGCAAGACAAGGACAGGGTTCAAAGTACAGGTCCAGGTACCTGCAATTGCTGTGACTGAAGCAGTGCTTGTAAACAAAAGATCTGAAACTTCAGGCATTGATTCTCTCCCTTTAACAACAGAAAGGCATCATGGGCTTCTCTCACTTTGAGCTTCTCTTCCTGCAAAGCCAGCGCTAGAGCTCTGTTGTTGGCTTGGATGCTCTTCAGCTGCGCGGGGCTGCTGACTGCAAGAGAACCCTCTGTCAGCTCACACGGGAAATTCACAACAAGAAGCACCAGACAAACCAAGACACAGGCACCCAAAGTGTCTTACTCGTGCCGCTGACACTTGTAGACGAGGGCTCGCAGGCTTTCCCCAGCCCTGCCGATTTCTTGTTTCTCTCTTTTATTTGTTCCTTCAAGTTGACCTGACTCCTCCGGGACGGCTTCCACAAGGGCTTGGCCATTTCCTACCTTCACAAAACAGCAGAGGCAAACGACTCACCCGCCACACGGACGGCAGAGCGCCTGCGAACGCGGCCGGAGCCCGGCGGCGGCGGGAGGGGCCCAGCAGCCCAGGCCGCACCGCCCTCGCAGCGGTTGTCGGTGCGGGGCCGAGCGCGGCCCGCGCGGCTCCAACCGCCGCCACCCTCAGGGCCCCAACCGCCGCCACCGCGGGCGGGCCCTCACAGCGGCGGCCTGCTTGGGAGCGGGGCCGCGCGGGGACGGGGCCGGTCCTGCGAACGCGGCCGGAGCCCGGCGGCGGCGGGAGGGGCCCAGCAGCCCAGGCCGCACCGCCCTCGCAGCGGTTGTCGGTGCGGGGCCGAGCGCGGCCCGCGCGGCTCCAACCGCCGCCACCCTCAGGGCCCCAACCGCCGCCACCGCGGGCGGGCCCTCACAGCGGCGGCCTGCTTGGGAGCGGGGCCGCGCGGGGACGGGGCCGGTGCCTGTGCGGCTCCACCCGACCCTCCTCTGGCGGGTGGTGTTGAGGGGCGAGGGCTGCGTGTGTCAGTCAACAGCCCGAGGTCAGGCGCTGCCGGCTCCCAGCAGGACGCGTGGGGGGAAGATGGCTGCCTGGCACACGCAGAACAGGGCGGTGGGCATTAACGGTGTCGGTGGAAAAAGCCACCAAGTACGTTAGACGCCCCAAAAACTGCTTTTTGGCACACGGCATCCCACAAAAGACACATTGGGAAAATCTGGCTTCTCTACCTTTTTTGTGGTGCTGCCTGTCCCCTAAGGGACACTCGGTGAACCTTTCCACCCAGCCCCAACAACCCCCTACAAACCAAACGTACCCCCCCAAACCTGAGGGGAGGACAAAATGCTGAGTGTTAAAAACAATGCTCTCAAAAAAACCCACTGGCAATTATGCCATGTTAAAATTACCCTTCTGCCCACTGGCTTCGCACCTTTTTGCGGGCAGTCACTGGGCACAACCCCACATTCAAAAGTCTCTAAAAGCTGCCTCTGTCCCCCTGCAAGCAGGTTTTTCTAAAATTACCTGATTAATAGAATTAAACTCAAGTTACATTTTTTTTCCCCTCTCAACCAAAGCTCAGTTGGTCTGATCAGAAAGAATAACTTTCCCTATAAGCTTTCCATAATTACAGCTAATGCTTGTTTTTCATTTGGCCAAAAAGCCATTTGTCATCTCCAGCAATGCTGATAAGGCATTAGTTAGTGGCTAGACAAGCCACTAATCCCTTACCTGGCACATACACACTGGTTCTGATTAAACAAACTGTGCTTAAATTAACAAAAAAACAAACAAAAAAACCAAACCCACCAAGACCACAAAACAAAAAACCCCAGCCTGTATCAAGACAAAACCTCATTGTTTTTTTTCCTCATTACTGCTTTTCATGGTACTTCACCTCAACAATCTCAGGAACAGTTTGAGACATTTCTCTAGCTAATTTTTTGTTTGTAAATGTCTAAATTCCAGTCTGCACTGATTCCTGAGACCAGAAATTAGGTGCTTTTCTCCACCCAGTGAACAAGCCCTAAGTAGAGGCCCCACTGAAGGGACGAGACTAATGCAGGAGCTTCGGAGCGTGCAGGCCCCAGGTTTCACCCCAGGCCGGTCTGGCTGAAATGGCTGATGTTCAGGGGGATGCAGTGACGCCTAGGGCAGCTGGGTGAGAGCGGACACAGCTCCTGAGATGGTGCCTCCTCAGCAAGCCTCATCTTTCCTGAGGTCATGCAAGGCTGTTTATTTCACTGCGTGGTTCTGAAATGGATGACTTTCCTGATCTTTTGGATGTTAGTTTAGTGAGATCGTGCTGGTCTCCCTCTATTTGGAGGTCATTTTCTTGTGGGGGATAGAAAGGTAAACTCCATTACTGAATTTTGTGGACATTACCCTTGTAAAGATAAAAGCACTAGAATCTTTTATAGCTCCTCCAGAGAGCTGTTAGGAGAAGCAGAAGTCTTGAAAGAATTTCCCCCTTGTCCCTAGTATTACAGAAAAATGATAATGAAAAATTCCTTAGAAATACCAGCATTTTGTGATGTGTCCTTCAGAGCCCAATCCACTTGGTGCTTAGAGATTAGAATCCAGCATGAGCCATAGTGGAGGACCGTTTATAAACCTTAATGTACCCTGTTATTAGACAGGCCTCTTACACGTTTTATGTAGTTTGCAGTATTAACTTGCATTATAACTAACAGCACTGTAAAATCACAGCTTGACAAACAAAGCCACCCTGTTATTTTCAAACAAATGACAGATATGATATGGTCATTGCAAAAAAATTGAGTTGCATGATCCTCAAATAGTTTTATAAGGAAAGACTTAATAATGGGTCATGCTTGATCATCGTGCTGGTTTTATTTACTGCTTTTGCTTTTCATTTTTATTTGGATCTGTCCTACTTATCTGAAAGGAGTTCGCAGGAATCTGGTGAAACATGATTCTTTCTTTTGGTAAGAGTTGTTTTGGAAAAAGGTAAAAGGTTTGCAATTCATTTTTCCTAGGGCTGTTCCGTCTTAGCTCTTTCAATTGACTTAAGAGTCATACTGGATCACATAATCCAGTATTTGATTCAGTCTAGAATCTCATGGGAATCTCATGTTCCAGGTGTTTTGTTGATTTTGTTTTGGTTTTCTGGTAGCAAGAATGGGGAAGCTCTACAACTAAAATGACTATGCTAACAGAACTCTGTAATAAGTAACTTTAAAAAAAACTACTGAAAATCCTAATCTTTAGAAAGGATGTACTGGTGCTTTACCTGTGCTCCAGAAAAAGTTTTGCAGTGGGCTGGTAACTAACTCTGAGTTAATAACTCTTTATCCTACTGTCATGGTTTAATATTTGAGCTGGACATCTCATGGGACAATGAGGTGTCTCCTATTTAATACGTAGGCCTAGGGGGATCTGCTACGTACAAGGAGGTTTCTTAACAAGGAAAGCATTTTTTTTTCCAAGTCCAAGAGGCATCCAACCCAAGAGAGACAGAAGGCTTCAGTTTTGCACTGCCAAGATGGCTGTTCTTTGGAAAGCAGCTCTGGTACAAGCGGAAGTACTAACCTTCTGGATTGCAAAGGTCCCAAAACCTGCCTTGCTTTGAGAAATCCTCCTGAAGAGTAGCAATTAGCAACAGGAGAGCATCTGATATGAATCAAAAAGAATGATTCCTCTCAGATCAGATGTTGGGCTCCTGCTAGCCTCAGAGCCCACCACAGGGGTAGTGCCTCTTCATATACTTCAGAATTGTAATTGCAGGTGCTGCTCATGACCCACTTGTGATATGCCAAGCTTGAAAGAGTGGAAACTCTTAATAGTATTCACTGTCCATAGAGAATGGGATACAGACAAAAACCACACCACTCCAGAAAGCACCTTCTTCCTTGTACTGCCCTGCTCCTCCATGGCAGTACTGTCAAAGAGCAGCACATCAGGAAAAGGAATCATTCAAACTCACTATTTCAAAGCCCAAAAGGTACTTTTCAACAAATAGAGATCAGAATTTACTATTTGCAAAGATTTTGCTCTGTCCTGTTGGTATCCAAGTATTTAAAAGAACACAGAAAACATCTGGCTTTGGTCAGTAAAGTGTCCATTTAATAAATTCCTTAGCCACATTTCCCACCCCTTCCTCCCACCCTAAAATTTCAATTCACACTTAAGCAGCAGATGACATATAAATCGATGGTGTACAACTGAAGATTTTAAATCTGCACTCTTAATACTAAGAGTATCAGGGGCTAGTATTTGACAAAATTACCTAGAACTCAGATGTGTCCATGCAAAAAAAGCAGATTTTTATATACAGTCTCTATTTTTCTTTTAAAAAATTTAAATATTTTACAAAAATGTATTTTCAAAATGTATAAAGTTTAGTGAATACCCAAACGTATCTTAAAATAAAACATCTGATTTCAAAGGTTATTTCAACAATGAAGTCTAAATTGCACCAGATAAAAGGCACTTGTGCTGTGTGATGTCTTGAGCAAATATATGTTAGTTTATAATACAGTAATACAGTGTCTTCTTGAATTCATGCAGTTGTCTCCGAGCATCAAGCATCATTAAAGCAGCCAAAAGAGATCGTGAGTAAACTTGATTCCACAGTTGTAAAAACATTTTCTATCGTTAAGTCGAGCATACAGCATTGTGCTCCAGCTCCGACTCTAGAATCAAACACTACAGAAAAATTGCTGTCATTCACGTAGGAATTCAAACTAAATTTCATTCTCTCATAAGTTACAAAATGAAGTATGCCATTTAATTATGAAACTAAAATGCCTATGAACAGCTCAGTGTTCAAATAGTTTGTGCCAATGAAAGCCTGTATTTAAAAACAAGCTAGGGGCTAGTTATTCAAGGAGCAGTGCATCATATTTTCAATTTCCATTTCACTGTTGAGATAAAAGCGCAGTCCTATTTGCTTTCATCTTCTCCAGCCTTTTCATTAAGTGGCTATTGGTCATCTCCATCTCTTCTATCTTATCCAGTGCTGTTCTTAACTATAAAATAAAAGCAAAAGTTACGATTGCGTTAAGTTTACTTGGACTTTCTGCTGTTGTTAAGCTTTGACAAAGGAAAGTAAATCAGGAATACAAGTATTATATGCTTTAGTAAGAGTGCCACAGAAGTTAAGACACAACACTTTCATTATTGGAGTCTGATGAACTGGAATTCAACTGTTTAAATAAAAAAAGTAACTAGGAAGCAATTGAAACATGAAACATGTACTCATTCCAAAAGATCTAGGTGCCGGCAACTTCCTATTTAAACATGCTGTTTAAAGCTGAAGTCCTCTCCACTGTTGTTAATTGCTGATGGATATATGTTCCTGTGGGTAGCAGGCACATCACGCTAGTCATGCAGTAGCTCTTAACCAAGCATGATCAGCAGCTCAGTTAAATACAGTTTCTTCCCAGCTCCTTAAGAGATGCATGCTGGGAACTTCCCAGGCTGGCATTTGAAATAGGGAGCATTCAACTCCACAGTCATTTTTTATGGAAAGATTAGTTTAAAATAGTACAAGTTATCACTTTCATTAGAAAATACAACTTGAGATCTTTCAAGAAGTACTGCATTGAACTGTAATTAGTATTACTTTCACGCGCTATAATCTTCTGAACGCAACGCTGAGACTTAGAGGCCTCCACAAAAAACACTTAAAAACTGCAAACCAAGGATTGCAAAAAAAAGCAGAGCTTGGAGGCAGAAGACAGTGCAGTTCAAGACTAAAAGCAGCATAAACCTGAAAAGGAAATCAAGTCAATTACCTCTCGCTGAAGCTTCCTCTTTTCAGCTTTGAGTTCATCTTCTACTTTTTCTGCATTTTCTGCTGCATTTTTATACCTCGCAACCTGCCCCTCAAGTCGTCCAATCTGCAAACCCAAACAAGAACAGGAACGATTACTCGGGTGTTCCACCCTGAGCTCACCTGCCACCAGCTGTTCTTTCCTTTCTGAAAAGCCACTGTAACACAAGGCATCCTGAGAATTATCCATAGCGTCTCCCTCTGGAAAGAGGAGGTATAACTGTGTTAGCAGTAATCATAATTGCAAAGAGAGAGTTTAAAAAAAGTAAAATAAATTGCAGGCAGAAGAAAAAACATAATCAGGAATTGGGGAACACATGAGATTAAAAACAAAAGCTGAAAAGCAGAGACCATATGAAAAGGAGCAAAGTAGAAAAGGAGACATTGTGTAAGATGGTTACAAGACATGGTGTAAGAGGTCTTGAGCTCAAGCACAGAGTCCAGCAGTAACGGGGTGGGGGGGGGGCTCAAGACAAACCCTGGTGGCAATCTGCAGGTGTTAAAGCCCACTTTACACTATTTATCCCTCCCCTACTGCCCCCAAATCCATAGGATGGGCTAGTAGCTTGCTGCTGTGCAAGAGAGACCAACCATGCATCTCCGATTCAAATTGTAATCCTTTATGTGATTTTTATGTGATCTACAGAGATGCTGAACTATAATGCCATGTTACTGACTTACAATCACAAAGTGTGAGTAAATCAGTGAGATATATATATATATATATATCTATAAAAACAAACTCTTGAATTTCATAGAGTAAGTTATGTACCTTCTACAGTCTATACAACTTTCTTACAAGTAATTAAGCTACATGAACTGATTGTCTTTAACTAGTAGCTTCAGTTCCTTTTTATATTCTGCCATACATTTACATCTTAGTACATTAACTCCACGCTATTTTCTCCTGCGGTTACAATATGCACAGGTATTGAATTGCAGGAAATATGAAAAAACATAAGTGTACTGCCATTTTGTGCAAAATAAAGAACAAGCAGTAAATCAAATTATGAAATATGTTTTCGTAGCTTTTGTTGAAAAAAGTGTGTAGAGCAAGTGTAATGATAACAATAAATATGAAGACAGACACACTTACATTTTGTTCCAAGGTAGTTATATCTTGTTCAGCTTTCGAAAGCTTAAATTTGTATTCACTGATTTGTCTGTTGGCATCTCCTAGACAAAAATTGATATGAATATATTACTCAAAACAACTCTCTAAACCGGCAGTTTCCCTTTCAATGAAAACTCATTATAAAGACCATTTTATTGAGAAGCCCATATCCAGGATTATAAAGCGGTAAATGTTCTTTCAGAAATTTTTTAAGGGGAAGAAAAAGAAATAATTTTCCTGTTATTTAGAGGACACAAATACTGTCTCTATAAGAGTGCATTAAATCTCAGATGTACAAACGAGATACACACCTTTTAAAACACACCTATTTAGATCACCAAACATCTCTTAAAAAAAAGAGAATCAACACAATAAGCAATACACACTGCAAAATGGGTCAAATCACAACAGATGTTAATACCAGCAGCATTTAGTGTAGACATCTGTAATAAGATGTGAATAATAAGGAGCATAAGGCTTGAACCTGCCTGAAAAACTCTGAGGAGCTTTGCACGTTATTTTGGTATTGGATTTTAGCTCTGACATTGCCAGTGCTCTGTGCGTGTTCAATGCCACAAGCATATTAAATGACCATCTATCAAATAAGAAAAGTTTTCAGCTGAAGAAATAGCTTGCTTGAAATGGAAAGTAGCTTAGTGCTTCTATGAAGCAACACTGAATATTGTGTTAAACCTTAATTTTTTTTTGTTTGTTTTGCTTCAGAGAATAATAGTCTTTCAGATTAAGTTTCCGCATCAAAGTTTCAACAAAATAACAAAAAATCAGGTAGAATGTATTAACAAAATATCTCAGCAAAATTCTATCATCTAAAAAATTGAAGTTATTCAAGCAGTGGCACCCATTCTAGGCAAGGTCATCAACTGAAAAAATAACTTGCCAGAATGTTGTATTCAACACTGAAAGAGGCAGATTTTTAAACTATTCTGCAATGAGAAGTTTCCTGCAAGGAGCTATACCAACAAAATCTTAGCTGCTCAAGGATATATTCATTCACAGTACTACTGCTGCACAGCAATGCAGAAAAAGGAGTTGGAAGAGTCCGTTTCCTCCCCCCAGTAAGAATATGCTTTTGAACAGTAACCATATACCTACTCTGCATTTCAATCAGCTGCAGGTCGGAACCATTCTCTAAGCCTATGGTATCTGGGTTCATGCCATCGCTTTTAGAATATTTCTGTCGTTCTTCTTCCAACTGCATCTTCAGTTTTCTAACCTGAAAAAGAAGCGTTCTTTTTTTTTCACAAAAGAGACTTCCAGAAGTTCAGCAGTCGTGTATCTAAATGTTCAATGGGAAAAAGTCAAAGCAGTCCTGAGATGTCAGTGGCCAGGACTGTTCTGTCAGCGGGAGCAGCAGGGCCGTGCCGGGGAGGCAGGGGAGGCAGTCCCCATCCCCTCTGCTGGGGCAGCGCTCTCTGCGCCTCAGCGGCACACTCCAAACAGAATCACAGAATCTTCTAGGTTGGAAGGGACCTTAAAGGTCATCTTGTCCAACCATCAACCTAACTGACAAAAATAGACACCCGCACAACAAACAAGGAACATCATCACTAAACCATACCTCCCAGCACTACATCAACCCGTCTTTTGAACACCTCCAGGGATGGTGCCTCAACCACCTCCCTGGGCAGCCCATTCCAATGCCTGAGAACCCTTTCAGTGAAAAACATTTTCCTAATATCCAGCCTGAACCTCCCCTGGCACAACTTGAGGCCATTTCCTCTCGTCCTATCGCCTGTGACTTGAGAAAAGAGACCGACCCCCACCTCTCTACACCCTCCTTTCAGGGAGTTGTAGAGAGTGATAAGGTCTCCCCTCAGCCTCCTCTTCTCCAGGCTGAACAACCCCAGCTCCCTCAGCCTCTCCTCATAAGACTTATTCTCCAGACCCCTCACCAGCTTTGTTGCCCTTCTCTGGACCCGCTCCAGCACCTCGATGTCTTTTTTATGGTAGGGGGCCCAAAACTGGACACAGTACTCAAGGTGAGGCCTCACCAGTGCCGAGTACAGGGGGACGATCACCTCTTGGGCCCTACTCCCCACGCTGTTCCTGATACAGGCCAAGATGCTGGTGGCCTTCTTGGCCACCTGGGCACACTGCTGGCTCCTGTTCAGCCGACAGTCGACCAACACCCCCAGGTCCTTTTCTGCCTGGCAGCTCCAGCCACTCTGCCCCCAGCCTGGAGCGCTGCCTGGGGTTGTTGTGACCGAAGTGCAGGATCCGGCACTTGGCCTTGTTGAACCTCATCCCGTTGGTCTCGGCCCATCGATCCAGCCTGTCGAGATCTCTCTGCAGAGCCTCTGTACCCTCCAGCAGATCAACTCTGCCACCCAGCTTGGTGTCGTCTGCGAACTTACTGAGGGTGCACTCGATCCCACCGATTTGCCCAGTGCTGTGGGGACCTTTGTGCAGGGGCACACAGCAGCTCCAACAGAGCTGACTTTCCAGAGGATGCAGCCACTTGAAACTCCATTTAAGCATTTCTCCTACAGTATACCTCTTACACATACGAATATAATGAACAATATCCTGGTGAATTTACAGAAAGAATAATCCACAGCTCTTTTTTGGGTCCTCTCTTTTACTCCACCTGGAAGCAATGGTCCTAGGCAAGTCTGTAGTGCGCATTAGTCTTAAATGGTTCCATTTTATGCAACAGCAGTTCTCTTGGGATTTTTCCAGTCGTCAGGGAACACAGATTGCACAGCTACCACTCCAGTGTCTGGAGTTTATGAAAAAAGTAGGAGCCACTTATTTGACTCGCTTATCAAAATATTGCCCTACAGCTTAGTGGTATGGGAGTTATACTTGCAAAACTCCAATTCATGATATAAATCAAATACTTTAATGGTGATTTTTACTATTATGTGGTGATAAATATACATATACATTTTTATACATAATATATTTATTTACTTATATTTAATACCGATTCAATACTAGAATTTACTGGCATTCTAAACAAAGTATCTATACTAAAATTAAGGCATATTCTCAGCAAAACCAAGTATTGATAACATCACTTTAAATTTTCAATGTGTTCAACTGGAGCACAAAAACTATGGCATTCTTAATAATTGTTCAATGGCTATATCTTTTCTTGAGTCCTCTCTTCTCAATATGGAACTGTATTGAAGTACAACTCCTTTGATAATATTAATTTTCTATGTGAGTAACTGAAATGATCAAAGAAATAATACCATTTAGCAATCTGGAAGACAGTGTCAATTGAGCTTATGAGAACTTCATTTTACAGACTTTAGTATTTCCACATAAGACAAAAGAAAGAACAGCTTTAAGTACATGCAGTAATAGTAGAGTCACCAGTGAGTTAGACTTCAGCTCACCAGTTAGTGAAATGAGGCTTCTTTACCAACCGAAGTCCAAGACACATTGATAAGGGCGCTAGTGAGAGGAGCTGATCTTACCTGCCTGGCTACCAGGAACTGAGTATTGCTTTAGTGGTTAAGTATTTGATTAAGCACCTTTGGTGCTTAATATTTGTTTATTGCTAATATATTAATATTCTGCAAGAGGATACACAAATGTTTATTTCTGAAAAGAATAGCCTATTTTACCTGGGACAATAATTCCTCCTTTTCTCCAGCCAGTTTTCGTAGTCGGACATCTAAAACCAAAGAACACAATCAAAACCAGAGAAATCTGTAACTAAGAACATGTTTTTCATAACATTTTGTTAATTTTCAAATAAAATGCTCTTCAAACTGTAAGCATAAAACTTTGGTATCTCACAAATAACAACATACCAGCCTTCAGTTAATAGCAGAAAAAAGGGAAAAATATTTCCATTACACCGTTTATTACTGTAACAATTTTAAAGGCAAGACCTCTGAGTTTAGTAGTTCTTCAACGTAAAATTAACTGAGGTGTTTTTCTTTAATATTAAAACTGGCTTTGTCTCAAGAGCCACTTCCCACAAAATTTTCTTCTGATTGCATATTTTTTTCCTTTTCTTATTCTTAAAGATTGCTCTTTCTTTAGCAATATGTCTCTTCCCCATATGTTTAGAGAGTTTGTCAAAAGTTATCTCAAACAACAAAAAAAGGTCTCGGGGAAAAAAACCCTCAGGAATGTTGCAATATCTCTAGTCAGCCAGGAGATCAGTAATGGCTACAAAACAGTCTGTCAAGCAAAATGTGCTAAGATCAGATAAATTCCAACTCACTGTGAACATGAGGGAAACAAAGATTTCAAACATTCTATAAAGTATGTCAGGATATTTTTTTACCTAGTGGTCCTTCTCCTGCAGATTCCAAGACTTGAGCAGCTTCCTGCGATACAACCGTTACTGCACCAACCACTGATTCATGGTTTATATCACCATTTGGTGTGCCATCTGGAATGATAACTAATCCATGTTTCTAAAAATACAAAAGAAAAAACCTACTCATACATGCTAAAATATGATTGGACAGAAAAGTTTTTAAAAAAATATTTTCAAGTTGATCATAACAGTTACAATAAAATACACTTTTATCCTATCCTAAGGTCAGGTTGTGAGATTGCACAAGAATAGTAACCATTCTACCTCTTTTTCATTGACCTTGATTTCATGCCCCGTTCCTGGATTTGTTACTGTAAAGTAACAATTACCAACATACCTCTCCTCTCTTCATTGTTTCCTTCAGGTCAGCCAACTCCTCTCTGAGCTCATCTCGCTCATTCTTAATGCAGTCAAAGTAATCTTTCTGTCTTTCTAGGGCCTGGGTTCAGGCAAATAGCAAGAAAGAGAATGGCACAGAGAAAAAGCATATGACAGCAGAGAGATTTTCTACAAATAAATACAAAGAGCTCAATAAAAGTAATTAGAAGGGGTATATAAACATATGTCTCTGATAACTACCTTTCACAAGTCACATATCTAGCCTAACTGCTGCATATTTGTCATGACTAATTTTTTCCCAGGCGAGTCTTAGTAGATTTTATACTAGAATTTCTGGTGGATTCAATTTTTGGTATATTTTCATACAGGCAGTCTGTGGCCAGAAATAAAAATGACTGGAACTCAGTTGGCAAAGATCCTAAAACATTACATTAATTGAACTAATTTTTCTACCTTTTATAAGGTATAGAAGTAGAAATCTTACTTCATAAGAGACCTTGGATATATAAGCCTGTCATCCACTTAGAAATACTAGTTTATTTACTACTTGCTTATGTATTACAACCACCCTTTACTAAAGCCAAAGCAGTTTAAGAGGATAAAAAAAAAAAGGCAGGAAACACCAGCAGCGCTATTTTATCACAAGAAAGAATTGCAGCTACAAGTGCAATATGGATGGGGATGTGTTTGCCTACCTATGCTGGAGCTGTGTCACCTGGGAGTTAACTGGACATTTTCTCTTGACTGGGCAGCACCCCAGTATTCAATTCAGATTCAATACTGCATGCATTACAAATAATCCTGACCATACAGCAACTGCTAAGGTGTACACACATTTTGCCAAGAAAATTGTCCAACTAAACCCAGCGTCATGCATGAATGTCTAGGAATGGACTGATACGAAGAAAGAAATGAAGGTATATACCTTTGTATTGCAATTGCTCCACATCACAATTGCAGTATGCCAAATTTTAATAATTATCTATAATCTGTATACTAGAGCAATGCTTTAATTCATTACCCTTAATTTCAACAGAAAAATTTAAGTGCTGTTGCACTTGATTAGTATGTAAATGTAACATTTAAAACATAGGTAATTCAACATGTGTGAAAGCACTAGTCATCTCATCATAGTTCAAGAATTCATAAAACGTCCTTTTGTTGCCTAACACATACTAGATCTCTGCAACTACATTATAAACAGTGTGAAGAACTTTCATTACATCATTTTGTGTTTCACTTAGGCCCAGACTCACACTGTAGACACTGCTCCTCTGTGTGCCTGGCAGTGTCCCAAGATGCTGCTGACCTTCCCAAAACATCCTTCCTATGCACAACTGCTGGAAATCAGAAAATTCTGACAGGGAAGGAAGTGAAACTGATATAACCATGTATCTCTACCTGTAGAGAGACTAGTAATCATTATTCAATGCTGAAAAACTTTAGTAAAACTGCTAGTGTTGGTATGCTATGGGGTTATGATACATGACATGGATTTTGTACTAAATCTACTCCTGCAATTCTTCTATTAAGTAGCAGGAATGAATAAAAATAAAGTCAGGACAACCAAGCTCTGCAGGCATGTTGGAACATACTAGTATGACTACAGTCTAGTCAGGTGGCAGAAGGTGGATTAGTTTGGGATTCTATTTTCTAAATATTCTAAAAATCTTAACAAATTCTATAAGAAACTCAGACATGCCATTGCTAATTTCAAATTGGCAAAGCACGTATAATTTGGAGCCACCAAAACGCAAACAGCTGTAATCTCAGGAATATAACCCGGAAGTTATAGTTCAGTGTCCTCAAATTGATCTAATTTAAGACCAAATACAACTGCAAATTTCCATTACTTTGTAGAGACAAGACAATATAAGAAGCATGAGTCTCTTTTACACCTGCCTATCTCAAGTTCTGCTTGCATCCCTTTCTTCCTCTGAGGCAGCATGGGTCTTGCATACATTGCAGAACTAGGTTACAATTCTAGTTATCAACTACTCCTTTGTGAAGCTTCTCAGAGGCTGCTGAAGCTGGAGTAAAAATTAGCAAAATTACTCAGCATTGAGGAGAAAGACTCAAAAACTGTGAGCTAAGAAAAATATGTAGATAATGGAAGTGAGAAAGAAAAGACAGCAGCATTTTTACATTTTAAGGACTAGGAGATTTAAAATCCCGAGACAGTATAACAATAAAAACTAGGAAAAATCCAGTTACCGTGTTTATAAAACCACAGAAATTGGCAGGAAAATTTTGGCTAAAGGAAAAGGTATCTTTCTTGTCAGTCTGGCTGCTAGCCAGTTTTTTGAACATTAGATAGATGATACGCTCTGTATCACTCTAGCAACACATTCAGAAAAGAAAAAAGTGCTTGCACAAAACAATTGCACAAATTGGCACAGTCCAGTACACAAACGTGAAGACTAAGTATGAAAAGAACACAGTTAATTAGAGATTAAAAACACCTTCAGAATAATGTTCAGAAGAAAACTTTAAGATGTTGAAAAATTATTTTATGATGGAAGATAGGATTGCAATATGGATTGAAGGAATGAAACATGAAATAAATATGGACTGAATACAGGCAGGAATAGGGCTTTTTTTAACTGGGCACTACTGGTTAAAAGATAACTTTTCAAAGTCACTTAACTCCAGCAGATGCAGCAATTCTCAAAGAAACCTGCATATGTCAAAACCTGGTGTAAAATTCACTTAGAGAGAAATGTCTAGAGTTACTAAAAGGCAGATGATCCCCTTCTAAAGGCTATCCAGCTCCTTCACTCCCTCCACCCGGCAATCTACGTGCAGCCCAGAACAGCCACAGGTCCAGAGCCACGTCGTTATGGCCAAGTGTCAGGCTGACCCTGAGACAGTGTCACCAGCTCTGTGCTGCACATCAACTCAGTTCTTCCTCTACCTCTTTCCTTTCTCTGCAGGAGCCCTACAGACACTCCTCTACAGCTCCCACGCAACTGCAGTTTCGATTCCAACTCTCAATCCCAAGAGTTGGTAACTTCTGTTATTTTGTTTGCAGTATCATGAAATCCCCTTGGTTCAGTGCTTCATCCAAGCTAAGCAGCCCTAGAAGGATGAACTGCAGTACAGGAATGTTCAAGTGTGGCTGCAGAAGTCAATTCAAGATCATATTTTTTTAGCCCTGGGTATGCCAAATGCAAGCATGATCTACAAATACTCACTGGGGTTTCTCTACATTTTGAGACTTAGCTCCTGCAGTTCCCAAGGTTTTCCATTATTTGGGGTATTTCGTCTCTTATTGCAGGTAGCAGAAAACAGACCATTTTAAAATCCACTAATTGTTATGCCAATTAAGATGAGGAGAGAGGCAGGAGCCAAATGTCGAGCAAGGTTTAAACTTTTCAAGTTTTGAAAATTGTATTTGCCTTTAAAGAAATTAAAAGCTTTAAAAACAATTTAAACTCTCTATAAAATTATATTGTCCCTATGGATCAATATACAGACCCAAGAGTTTTTTTTTTCCTGTTAAGAATAAGGAAGTAATGGCTTTTTCAAGCTCTGATTACAGGTAAAAAATACTTTGTAAAAAATTACAGAATTGTATGCATAACAGGTTATTATCTGATAGATTTAATTAGGATTATTCATCATTATACAAGTAAAGATGAAGTGGAATTTATTTTATAAAGAAGAGAAAACTGAAAAACATTTTAAATATTTAAATTGGGAGTGGCCTTCATTTCTTTGGAGTACACAGCATTCCTTGGGGAGCTGGGGAGCATCCATCTACTACTAAAATGAAAAAAATACCTTCCCCCCATATTTATTTCATACCCCTATTTTTTTATCTTTCCAATTAATTGTCTCCTGGAGATCAAACACCTCTCTGGTTATGGAGTCTATATTCTGCTGCATGCGCTGATTCTCCTGTAGTAAATAGGATGAGGGAAAAATAAAAGAGGAAACAGAAGTAAGGAAATGAAAAAAAGCCACATCCAAGTAGATAAAGGAAATTAAATAGTAAAAGACAACCAAAGAGTTTATGAGCATGAAGTTAAAGCAAAAGGGTGCTACTAAATGTAACAATTTTTCCTTTATGAATTTATGCAAGAGAATGGTCATTAATTTTATTCAATCCCTTAATATTGATGGGAAGATTTGCTACAACTGGAGTTACTTTTCCTTAGTAATTGTTCCCATTACATACTAGGGATAGGATCCTTTCTTTAGGAAAATAATTACCCTGATTTCCAGATACTTTCAAGCCTTGTTCGGAAGTGAACACTTATGTTAAGAAGTGGTTTTATTAATATTTTACAAAAGGAAAAGTTTTCTTGGAAGTACAAGGAAGGAAGTTTGAATCAAGAATCCAGGAAGTGATATATGGCTACTGACTGCTTTCTGATACTATATTAATACATATCAAGTGTGGTCCTATTTTTTATCTAATGCTCCATTTTGTTGTTTGTCCTTCAAAAGTAACTAAAATTTCTTACTATGCTCATATAATTACGTGTGATGAAGACACAAGAATTTTTAGGGCTAGAACACTTCCTAATGAGTGACCTTGATTTTACATTTGGGAATGGAAGACAATGTCTTTCTACAAAAAAAATAAATGGCTTCAGCTAGACTAGCTGTTAGTGTTAATAGCTGGAGAAGTTACTAAAATAAATGGTAAATTTGGGGCAAATTGTAGCTTTGAAGGGACTGTAAACATTTGGTGAATATTCAACACACATATGGTACATTCTACCAAAGCAAACATCCCAGAAAAATCTATTATATATTTTTGATTCACATACTTGTTAAAAAACCCAAAGAACCACCACCAAAGAAGAAAGTATGAAGCGGTATTTCCTTCATAGTGAAGTCAAAGTTTTTTTCCTTCAGAGCAAGTGAGAGCTAAAAGCAGAATTTGCCAAGTTTTTGATTGTCAGCAATAATCTGCAAAATGCTGCTTCTTAAGCTAATTTTACTCCTTTTCTTGGAGTTCCTGTACTACTGCCTGGAGAGCACAGGAACTTAATGAGGAAAGAAATCAATCAATGAAATGCAGTATTACAGAGCTTTTGAAAATCAAGTAGTGGAAACTTTGGCCCGTACACTTAAGATCATAAATTTTAACTGAAACCAGAAGGCAGTGGGATAATGGTGTACTAATTGAACTTACAGTACTAGAACAAAAATCAATGGGAAGTGGACACCCACATCCTGTTGACGATATATATCTTTGTGGACCATTTTAAAATTAAGACGGATAATAGAGCTGGGATTTTAGGACACATTTCTTCTGGAAACAAATCAAAGTGGGGATAGAGGAAAAGCAGAGGGAGAAGAGGGGAAACAATGATAACACACCACACTCCCAGCAACATGGTTATGATCCAGTAACATGCTGACCAGTGTTCCTATATTTATGCTTGACTGGCAAGCAAATAAACATTCACTAATGCAAACTTCAGAAGCTGGTGCTCACAAAAATCTGAAATAACTGAAAAGGAAACTTTTGGGAAAGGCGAAGAATAATATTACTCATGCATGAGAACTTCTGGCTATCCTAAAAGATTTTGGCCATTCAAACATTAGTTCTGCCCTCACAAAGAAGGAAAGATACAAGTAATATTCATGAGTGAACCATAATTCTCACAGAAATGAAGGATCTTACGCATCTGAAAGCCTTAAGTAGGCATTTTCAACTGTATAAATTAAGAGAGCTTGATAGCTTAAATACTACCCATTGAAACAAGACAAATTCTTTCTTAGAAATGTGAGATAATATTTAAGCTCATTTTGTGTATGATAGCTGTTCCCATTCAAATCTTACACCGTATTTGTTTGCACAAGTTCCATCATGCACTCTCTCATATGAACATACCTCTATCAATTCATCTCTCTGTCGAAGACCCTCTTTAAGTTCATCCAGCTTATGCTGTAGAACACTGCATGTGTGTTTCTGCCTTTCCAATTCCTACAAAATAAATTCATTATTTATTTTTATTTATTTGGCATTTGACACTCATTTTCACTACAAATTTTAAAGAGGTAGCAATATAACTTAAAATTACCTATGAAATTATTGCAACAATTTGATCAATTCTACCTACTAAGTGGCTAAAAATCACAGAATCAGTGTTTTAGATAAGTTCTCCAGACATTTATTATACAGAAGATTTTATTTAATGAAATGTAGAATGGACAGAAAAGATGGCATAAAAGATGGCACAATATTAATTAGAAAAGCTTGGATACTGAATTTATCTAAATATTGTTGGAAAGAGCTGCCTCACAGATCTCCCTTCTCCGAGAAAGTGGGACTAAGCATGTCCTATTCAAGTCAGTGTTTTGGGGTTTGTTTGGTTTTGGGAAGGGGGACGGTTGGTTTGTTGGTTTGGATTTTTTGGGGGAGGTGGTTGATTGGTTTTTTTTTCAACTGTTCTTCCTAAGTAGTCTGGGCTTCTATGCTTTCTCTTTCCAATTAGAAAAAAAAGTCTTAAAAATCAGTACCTTTGACTTCTCTTCATTCTCCCTATAGAACTCTGCTATCTGTTCTTCTTTCTCCTCGATGACATCCTTTAGAGTATCCACTTGGTAAACTAAGTTGTTTTTCTCATTGTCTAGTTGAGCATTGGAGACCATAGCTTTCTTGTACTTCTCCTCAACTTCAGCTAGTGAATCCTATAAACAGGAGAAAGGCTTACATTAGTCTAACTTTTTTGATGCATTGCTATAATGTTAAAATACCACCACAATGCTGAAGAGTGCTGTTATGCAGTAAAATTACACAATCATTTTGGTGTCTGAATTATTCTTCACGTGTTCTCTTTAGAAATACCAATTCATAGTTCAACTTCTATATTCAGGTTAAGTCATACACAGCAATGAAAAGTTATTACTACAGAAGTACGAAAATGACAATGTAACATTCTATGTGCATTTTCTACTCTGTTACCTTCCCAACTTAACTCACAGGGACAAAGTAGTAATATCACAGCTTTCTTTGTATTTTCAGTGCACGCACAAGAGAACACTACAGAATGAGGCAAGAAATCTGAGAGAGAGAGCTCAGACAAACAACTAAAAAAAGATCACAGAAATCTCTAATAGTAGCTTTAACTTACAGCTCATTATTTAATTAGTGCTCTGTACCTCGGATTAAGTTTTAAGGAAGTCACACTTTCAAAGTAATGATGTTTCTCTGTTTAAGCAGACATTTTATCGTTCTATTTCTTACTAAGATTTTTTAAAGAAGCATGTAAAGATTTACATGCTTGATTCTCTACCTGAAGGTGCACATATGCCTTGCTATGTACCCTCTTAAGCAATTCTCTCATGTTTACCAAAATAATTCTATCCTATTGTTTTTTTCTCAGTACTGTAACAAATGTCAACTACTCAAACACCATAACAACAATCACTGCAGACACTTTTAAACATGCACCGATTTCAATATGCATGCTTTTAAAGATACAAAAATTGAGTTTCACTCTAAAATTGGAGTCCTAATTTTAAAACTGAAAAAGAACTATTAAGTCATTCCCTTTCCAAAGTAGATCTGTGCCTTACTACTAACTCCCTTCTGTTCTTTGCAGGCGTAGGTAGCGTAACCTCCATGTTCCTGCTTTGTGTTCTGACAGCACTAGCACAGGCAGGGCACCAGGACAGTAGGACTAAGGACTAAGATATCAAAGGAGAGGGTGGTAACAATCTAAATTTCCTAAGAAAGTCAACTCCTACACCCTATTCCATGTTATAAATATCCATTTTGAGAAAGCTGTCCTTAAAGTAAATATTTTAGCCTCTATAATTTTTCATACTCACGTGTATTTATCTTTCCGGTCCATTCACTAACCTAGGGAATTTTGTGCTAGAGAAAAACAGTATTTTAGAAACCCCAGAAAAAAATAAGCTAAGACATACCCTGACAGACTACAGATCAGAAGAAACAAGACAATACAAGGAGTGAAAAGATAGGGTACCATTATCATCTGGGAAGCAGTAAATAGCAACAGCAAAGAAGATTCATGGTAAGACAGAAGAAAATGAAAAAATAAAGAACACATGCAAATGCATTCCAGTACTCAAGTTTTTAAATTAAAACCACAGAAACATTTTTTGTGATGGTGTAAATATGACAAATGTTGTAAACCTTCCAAAGACTTTCAAAAAATATTCAGCTTGGAGGAAAAGGGGAAAATACTAGGATTAAAATGAATGCTATAGACCTTTTATGGGGAGATACAAAATTTAATGAAAATTACAGCTTGGAAAAAATTCCAATTTGATTCTGTGAGTGTAGTGAGTAGAATCATGTAGTAATATAAGCTCACAGAGATCCCTGGATGGTCCAATCTCCTAATGAAGCAAGGGCTAACTAAGATCAGGCTGCTCACAGCTCACCTCCAGTCCATTTTAAGTAGGATTAAGGATGCAGACTGCAGAACCTGGCTGTTCCAGTATTTCACTCCTTCCTTATGAAGCTTTTTACTTGAGGCCTAATTGAAATTTCTGCTCTTACAACACAACTTTTCTCTGTTGCATCTTGCCCTGTCACTCTGCACCTCTGAAAGGAATCTACCCTGTCTTTTCTACAGCCTCCTACCAGGCAGCTGAAAACAGCAATGATACTGCCACCCACACCCCAGAACTTATCAACTCCAGTTGTCTCAGCCTCTTACTGTACACCACGTGCTCCAGGATTCCAGCCTTAAAGGAAGACAACTTAATGGGGGGGAAAAACCTGCAGTTATGGAAGAGGAATAAATTGATTTTGAGACAGAAGAGTGAGAATTGCTTCCCAGAAAGAAACCAAGCTAAGCCCAAGAGTCTCCTACCAATTAAATAAAAAAACCAAACCCAGAAACATTGCTAATGCTTCTTTGGATCTGTTCCTTCATTTCAAGTAAAGTATTATACGTGTTCCCTATGGTTCAAGAATTCCATGCAGTTTCAGTAATCTTCCAGTTTGGCGAGAAATAATATGGATTTGGAAGGGTTTCTGAGACACTTAAATGAGGCAGTGGGGTGCCCAAGGATGGGAATATCAGTGGAAAAGGCTACAATGAAAATGGATAATAAGGCTCTTGCACAGAACCTAAAGCTATGAAGAAATACCACCCACAAGTCTACCAGTGAAGCCAATGGGCTATGCAAATCAGCTTGCTTGGCTAGAACAGGATGATTAAAGCCAGCAGACACAAAGAGAATGCTCTGTTAACTGTATAAAAGAAAAGTTTTGAGGAAAGAAAAAGGATTACTTTCTAGTTGAGGCAAAGGAATATATAAAGAACCAACAAAACCAAATCAAACTGAGACATGAAAAATGTGAAGACCCAACTAAATCAGAACTATCCACGTTAGTTTATTCTGCTGACACACAGCAGATTTATAGCCAGGTATAAAACACACTCTTAGCAGCACAAGGGATGGGCAACCACAGAGATATGAAGGCAGTGTAATTACAAATCGCTCTCAAGCACTGAAAAAACATTTAAAAGAAGTGCAAAAGCAGGTATCCTAGTAACTCTTTTAACCTACACAAGACAAAGCTGCTAAATCAGGGAAGGTGACAAAAAGGCAATACCTTCCTAGTTAGAAAGAAGGGTTTCTCAAAGAGTGTCTGTGGAATGAAAATTAACTGAGGAACATATTATTCAGTATTAAGAATAGCATAAAATGCAATTCAATTTTGTAAGCCAAGCATAGATCAAGATCTTACACTCTACTGCACACTTGTGCTCTTTAGTAACTAATGGATTACAATAAACAATAGTGCATTAGTAATGGTTCAGAACAATAGTCACGAGATGCTAGCGAACATGCAAAAGTATGATGCAATATCATGTTTTATTCAAATTTAGTACAGTTTATGACTAGATCACTATTAGACATAGACAACTATGTCTAATAATCTTGTATGCTACTGCTCTTCAAAGTCCTTTTAATATTCATAATGCAATATGACTAAAACAAGATCTACATCATCTGGGCATGTGACTATCAGACTCAAAGTTCCTTATCTTCTAAAGAGGAAGTAATTTTTGCTACATCAAACAGCTCAAATGACATATTTTCTCTTTACTGTATCATCTAATATGTTGCCTTACCAAGGAAATTCAAGGAAGCTGTTACATGCTCTAGTACAAGTAGCATTCATTAAATTGAGTCTCTATATGAATATAAGACAAATACAGGAGGATCTCTTTCGTTTTACATGGAACTGTTCACAATTAGGTACAGGAAAGAGAACAGAACAAATATCCTGAATAAGATTTCTAAGCCACATCATTTGCTGTATTAAGTTTCCCTTCAACACAGGGAAGGGGAAAATAATCAAACTTCAAATTAAGTGCAAACTGTTAATTGTGTGAAACTTACAAAAGAAAAGCATACATACTCGTTTAAACTAGTTAAAAGTCAAAATACAGACAAATCTCGTTAATGTAATACTGAAAACCAGCCTATAACTTAGACAAAGATAATGGGAATGTAAACAATAAGCATAAAAAAAAATTCTTTTGTAATGACAAAGCATTAAAACAAAATTAATCTTCTCCTGCAAGTAATATGCCTGCCCAGATTTGTTTCAGCACATCTTTCAAAATTATTACTTTGGTTTTGCTTGCAAGATGTACTATTTGCTGAAACTTGGAAGACTAATTCTTAATTTCTTAAGTTCTTTGTCATAACTAAATCTTTCTTTCTTCCCCATTGAATACATAGTACTTATTTTGAATGTCCATTTATTTGCTAACAAAACTCTGAAAAATATAAATTGAACCTTTCATCTTACCAGATGCTAAAAATACGGAAGTTTAATACTATTTTAACATAAACTAAATAATAAACATGTATTATCTCACGTACATTTGTATCATATCTTAATGATTTACTCACATGGCAAAATTTAAGATGATGCAGTAAAAGTTATATACATGCTTTAAAGAAATTTAAAAACTTGTTAGTAATGCCTTATATAGTTAGTAGAACCAGTGGTATCGCCATTACTCAAAAATACCCATACATAACGCATGCTTGGGAGGAGCCCTGATACCTTTAGTTCTTTAAGTCCCTGCATGTATCTCCCTTCTACATCGTGTATCTGGTCCTTAAGATCATAGATATCCTGCAGGACATAGGAATGAACCATTGCATAAGAAGTATGGGGAAGTCATTGATAGTTGAAAAAGCATTAAAAAGATTTACATGCAGTTATGTCAAATGCCAAACCCTGCAATAATTCACAGAAATAATTAATTCACAATAATTTGATGGACATTCAGATTTTGTCTAGAACCTTGAATCCAAGCCATCTCAAATAGGACAGAATTGTTTCAAATTTGACAAACAAAGTCTTATTTTAATAAGAGCTAAGCTGTTAGCACCATAAATATTTATCCAGACAGCAAATACAATTACCAAGATAAATACAGAAATCTTTTATGATTAAAAATAACATCCTCTTAATTTTTCTTACTATTAAGAAACCAGAAGTTCTGTAGCAAAGAAAAATTCCCCCTAATCACAAATAAAATGTTAAATGAGCTCCAAATTCTCTGAAAATGCAGTTTACCCGTAATTCACTGAGGGAGGCATCAGGATCCACCAAACTGCTCGTGTCTCCGCTTCCTCTCCTAGAGGAGTTGCCGCTCAGAGGAGTTACACTTACTGAATTGCGCGATGATGGCTTAAAAAGGGAAAAACACTGTATCAGAAATCATGGTGTCATTTCTGGTATACTTGACGTTATCTCTTTGATGATTTATCAGTTACCATAACATTACAGTTTTGAGTTTTCTGTCCAGAGGACTTACATAAGGAGGCTGTTACTGCTGAAAAACTGTAGAAGTTTAAAATATTTCTAAAAATTATAATTTCTGCCACTCAGGATTCAGGAAAGTCTCCAGTGGAACCTAGCATATGAATTTTTATAGCCCTAGCCTCTTGAAATTCAACCTTTCCTGCCAAGTATTTCTCACACAGAAAAATTCTCTAAAAACTAATACTTGCTAAAAGTAATCTAATAAAGTTCTTTTCCTGGGAAATAAGAGACAAAACATTAATTTTGTAGATAAAAAGACTGGTCTAAAAATACCTCTTTGCAAGCTCTTAAAAATGACTAAAATACACTCTATTAAAACCATACAGCATTTATACTTTTAGAGCTATTTTGATACTCGCAAATTTATAGCTGAACATTGGCTTTCAGTGATTTTTAAATTAAAGACTCTTACCCTTGAAAATATTTCTGATTGTGATTTTTCACTCTTTTCTTCCAGCTGAAAGAGTAAAGGGGAAGTGATCACAATACACATTTTGCAATGAGGGACTACTGAAGCGCCATCTTCTGTTCAAAGATACTAAGAAATATTTAAGAACAAAAAATAAAAAAAATGGAAAAACTTTAAGAAATTCCAGAAGTTAGCATAAATCGAGACAGGAAAAATAACCATTCAGCCTGAAAAAGTCGTTTTTAACCTCAATTGGAAAATAAATGAATGCTTATAAAGAAAAAGCCAGAAACTTTTTTTAAAAGTCTGTATCAATATTAAAGTACTGATAAACAAAACACGTTTCACTATTTTACATTTCAACAGGGTAGTGACTACAAGACTTGGTGGCATTACAAACACAAAGCTTCATGCAAGTGCACTTTAGAAAAAGTGGTGACAGCAGTGTGAATGTCCTAGTTATGAGAAAACACATCTGTTCCTTCAATCTCTTTGGTGAAACCCGCAGTTACATCAGGACAAAACCAACTCAGGTAAAAGCCCGTAACTAAGATGTACTAATTAACAGCAACCTACAAAATAATTTCAATTCATATTTTGTGTCTTGAACCCTAAGCAAAAGAATTACCACCCTCTCTTCTGATTTAGGAAACTCTGATATTGCACACTTATATTGTACATTTCCTACATTTTAACGGATCAAAACAGGTGGAATTCAATTAAGACATTAACACTTTGCCATATTTCCTAAAACAATCATGATACATTGAGTATTGAATCTGAAACATCTGGCTTCTTCAAAAACAGTTGTTTTTCTCCCTGCCCAGGGACAAGAGATTTGGAATCCTGCTACAATCACAGTAGAAGCAAATGTTACTTTATGGGATCTTTCTTTTTCCTTTTATTGTGGTTTCTCCAGAAGCAACATTGCTTTTCCATGGCAAATTCAGCATCTGCAATGACGTACTGAAATTGTAAATTACAAATATTTGTCACCATTGTGATGGTAAAACGATGTTAGGATCCATTTCGAGTAACCTAAAATATAATTTTGGAATCTAATAATATAATATATTAATTATTATATTAGTAATAAAATTAACTAAGAAGGTACCATGATTGCCAGACTCAGCCTCCACTTTTCATTTTAGCAAAGCATTTATTTCAGAAAAGCAGGTTTCTTAAGAGAGGGAAAAAAACGCTAAATTTTAAGCTGAAGAAATGACTGGTCTAGGTCACGCTTTAAGCATGTACAGATGATAAATACTGTGGCATTATTAAAATACACATTACACAGCACTATAAGAATATTGAATCATATAAATGCAGAGTGACAGAAACAGTGGTTGCAAGGGCACTCTAGCAGTCACCTTCCAAAGCTGCCAACTGCCCAGGTTAGCTGTGGCTTTAGCTAAATCTCACCAGCTTCTGAGGATGGAGGTTCTCCAACCTCGCTGTAACCTGTCAGAGTGCAACGCTAGCCTTCTGGGGCTTCTTGTGCTGGCTCATCTCAACGTCCTAAGCTGCAGTGTGAGACTGCTGTCCCTTGTCCAACTGCCTGGCACAAGGAGGGAGTGTGGCTCTTAACCTCATCAAGCAGTTGCAGGCTGCTGATATTAAGTTAGTAAGTTTGCTGTATTCACCACAGTATAACAACAAGCATTACACTCACACTATTCAAACCTTGGACATCGTCTGCATCCGAAACAATGCTTCCCCTGCGGTTGGAACGACTGAAATAGTCAGCAGCAGTTTCACTTTGATCAGAAAAATCAGAGTACTTTGAAAGATAAGGAGAAGGGTGAGAGAGAACTGAAGATGATACCACAGAATGAACAGAAGTTCATTTAAAAACAACAAACAGGAAATCCTAACTTAAATCTCCAATATTGCAATGTATTCTATCTTTTCTAACAGTTTAACAGTTGTAAAATCTTAATTACTCTTTTAAATTTTTGCTATTTTCAGTGTGTCTGCATGAACGAAACATGTGCTACACTGATATGACTTCTTTAGCCAGTTTACGCATTGTTTTCAAACACTCTCTTCACATATTTATTATTCTTGTAGTTTACAGTATCTGAAAGCAATGAACATTTATTATTGATCCATTTTCTTCATTTAGAGTCATATAAAACACTACAATCAGGGATACAAAAGGGTTTAGTACTAATATAATGCCAAACAGAAGCTACAAAAATGACCTTGTTATATAATAAAAACAGATTATACAATCAGAAGTTGATAAATAAAAATTACTATTTTTCTCCAGAAATGTTGTCTTTTCTTTAAATCAACACAATCCCAACGCTATTAATTATGAATATGATCTGGGCTTCCTCTCATTCATAATTTTAAGAGGCCTTACAATAGAAAATAAGCGCACTCCTCTGAAAGCCATATGTCAGACAGGCACCTAAAAAGGTGAAGAAAAAATTCTAATGGTGCACATCACTGGTCAAAAAGGCATAACAGTCATTACAACGCCATGGGAATTCTAGTGAAATGTTTAACCAAGAAAACATTATGCATGTTAGACATAGTATTTAATGAGAAGAGTAGGTTTATCAAAAGCGTTGAATTGATAGCATTCTACTTCAAAAGGCAGAAGGTTGCTGTGAACATTATATTTAGTTTTAAAAGTGATTTATGAAAAAAAAAATCTTTAAGGAGACAGTTTAAAAATAAACTTCCCTTATCCTATTTTTAAATTAATTCTTAATTTCTTTGTACTTGAAGCACATGAGCAATGTAGCCTCATCTCATTCTGATTAAAAGACAGTGAGATTTTTTTTTAATGTAAATGTGACCAGTTACATATAAACCACTCTGCTGATGAACACCTGTCTGAGCTTCTGTGTCCTTAGGACTACAGAATTTGTACTTTTTGTCACTGTTTGGTCATATTCTATTTCTCTGCCAAAGACTTTGAGCTGTATCTACATTTTAAATAATATCTTTGTAATTCTTAAATAAATTTTTACACTCAGAAAGTTGGCTAAACTTTCTTATTTCACTTGCATTTCATAATGTATAGAGATGCTGAACAGAATTCTGCTGACATGAATTATGCTTACAGCAAAAGAACAAACAACTTGAGAACTGCAAACAATCTATGACAACACTGGGCTCTTTTTCATTGAAAATCAACTTATCTTTGCTTTGAAAAGTGAATATGTCTGATAAACCTTGCTGTTCTTCCTTCTATACCTTTTGCACTTCTAATCTCTTTCTCAGTGGGCTTAAGATGGAAATGCACCATGTGGGGTTTCACCAGTGTTCTCTGTTGTTTCCATCGTCTCTCATAGTTTCTCTTCCAATTTCCAGTGAGTACTGAACTAACTTCCAATGCACTATCCAGAGTGAAATGGAAACATGAACCGTAGCAACAGTAGAGAATGAAAGTTAAGCTACGAGTAAGACTTCTACTTTGTTGCTCAATACCTTTTTTAGAATTATTTCATTAAACAAATACTTTGAATTCCATTAAACATTCACCAGTGTGAATGGTACCTTGGCATGATTGTATCATATATACATACTGAGATCTGATACATATATTCCTATACATGATTAAATTATGCACTTTTAAGAAATGAATCTTAATGTTAAGAGAAACTTTGGAGACAAGTAGTATTTTCACAGGTCAAGAGACTTTAGAGATGGATGTTAGTTTAATATCTCTTAGGTTTTGGAACTTCATAAAGCAAAAGCAAAATTCCCTTTTTCCTACCCCCTCAAAAATTCACTCTGACATCTTTTGTAGCTAAAAACATTCAGTCTCTGACAAATCTGGGCTTATTTGTTTAGTCTCTGTAATATTATTAAGATTATGTGAAAAATTAAACCAGGACATTATTTTAATTTAACCTATATTGGAACACTGCTCGACATTTTCGTGTAGTGGGACAAACGAGCAGCTGTGCCAGTGAAATTATGACAGTTGTTCTGCAGCTGAAACAGGGGGTAGAAGTATTTAAAAATCGCTTTGCAGCACAAAAGCCACCTTTGGAACAGCTCGTTTAACACAATACAGATCCAGGAACAAATTTCTCTCAGTTTTGAATACCGGTCACCATAAAAATAACCCAGCTGCTTACCCTAACCTACTTACCTAACAAAGTCTGCCTTAGTCCTCTTCCCAAAAAGAACGGTTTTTGTGCCTAAATCGTAGTATCAGTCTCACGGGCCTGCCCAGCTATGACATAAGGTGGTAACTCCCACAACGTACCGAGTACTCCAGTTGCCAATTGCTTCCAATTATATACATTACAAACATTTAGATGCTGTCTAGAAAAGCAAATTCCTTATTGCTTCTACACTTCACTGTCTTCCTGCTAAAACTTTGCATCTTGCTAAATACCACATCTGTGACAAATTACATTCTTTTAGTGTGAAATTGAAAATTTGAGTCTATGTATTGTCAGTAAAATGACCCCTGTGGTAAATACTCCTGGTCATTGTGCGTTAGTGTCACAGCATGCAGCAAATCATGCAAGAGAAACGCTCACCACAGGACTACTGCGAACTGAGCTTGATCTTGAAGAATAACTAGATTCAGATGGCTAAAGAAAAGTTATGAAGAAAGTTTTCACAATTTTCATAATTTTTGTTTCCAAAAAAAAAAAAAACAGCCAAAAGCCTATTACACTTACAGTGTGAGAACTATATGAGCTACGTAATCCATCGCCACACAACGATGCCTGAGAAATAGGGAGTGAAATACTATTTATATTCAGTCTCAGAAATAACTATACCACACACTTATACACTGTATTTCTTACGCACTGTAACATACTTTTATCTTATCCCACGTGTGCATTTTCCAGTTAATATTACTTTTTGACAGGACAAACAACTTTTAAAAGTTTCCAGCAGCATTTGCTCTTAATGTTAGGCATGTCTATTTCCAAATATAAATCTAAGAATTTCCTTGAAAAATTGCCAAGTACTTTTTTAAAAGTATCAAATCTTAACTATTTTCAGAAGAAAATTAAAATTAATACTTAAATTACAATTTGGTTTTCAGTGTTCTGCAGGCTTTAGAAGTTTTAATCCACCTTGGGAAATGAAGCTATACTGTACACTTATCACTTTTACTTTGTGCTTGCCGATGCAGGGTTTCCCGCAGGAGAATGCGTTACAGTTGGGCTCGATCTTAAAGGTGTTTTTCCATGAAATGATTCTATGGTGCAAGGCTGAAATCTGTTTATGCAATGGATAATAAAAGCAGTTCTGGGCAAAAAAAAAATTGCTGGTTTTCCCTTATCTATGAAGGGAACTCTAGTAAATATTAGAATTATATGTATATTAGGATAAAACGTAATAGCATTCATTATGGTCTTCTCAAGAACATGCACAAAGCCAAAAAAGTTATCTCGGTTTGCAGTCCAAGTGCAGAACAAGACCTCAGTAACGTAAAAAAAAAAAATCATAAGAATACTCGAAGGTTTTCCTACATCGATTTAGTATCTCTCTAAATGGCAGTATGAGTTGGAATATTGTAGCAGCAAAGGGCATAAAGTTTCAGGCATGCGTGTGGCTTCTTAAAGACAATAACTTTTTGTAGAGCTAACTAACCATTCTTATGGCACTTCTAGCTACTTTTTATTTACTAAAATATGTGGATTAGGTTTGGTTTTGATCCAATTATGTTTTTTATGATTATGAAATTTAAATACAGCACCAAATTTGAAAGTATTTAAAGTGTATTTATTACAAATTTCTAAAATCTGGCAATGATTTTTCCTGTTCTAACAATTAACTTAAGTATTATACACGCAGTTGTTATTCAGTATGCTTGGATTAACTTGGTCTAATCTCACTGTTCTTCAACAGCTTGTTGTATTCACAAACTTTATGCTTGTCTGTAAAAAGATGAGTAAAACTGCAACTACTAGAATATTTAACAGCGTTAAAAACATTAAAATGAATGCCTCCACAAAATCACACATATAAGCTGCAACTTTATTTAAAAATATGGGAAAAAAATGCACATGTAATACTGCCAAGCCTCATGACTACACAATGCAAGTTTAAGGCAACCATGCAAATGGTGCTTACGAACCCAACTGGTACTTCTTATCAAACCAGTGTTTACAGAAGGAAACACCTATTAAGAAAAGTGTAATTTTATATTTCTGAGAGCCATTCAAACATATAAAGATAAGCAAGATATTATTTTGTATTGTACTAACCCTGTAACTCGTAGTTGTTGCCACTGGATCACTGTATAGGGAAGACAACTGTAGTGTGAGGAATAGAAAAATTCAGAAACACTTTTTCGGTGTACATTAATTTTTTTGTCTATATTCCCCCAAAATTCTAAAAAAATTGAAATTTTACATCTATAACAGACAGGAACTTTATGAAATGTGTGGATAAACATTCCAAGAAAACCCATTATTCTTGAAATCATAACCTAAAGCATTAATTAAAGCAATCTGGTATTTTTATCAGAAGGTAAAGAAAGATAAAGAAGAGAATGATCAGAAACTAGGTAGTTTTATGTCGATTTCCTCTAGCTACCTGACCATGACAATAGCTGCAGGTACTGGCAGATACTACCCATCTCACAGCAGACCATCGATTTATATTCCTGTAGAAAAAAGTAGCACGCTGACACTAAAGACTTTTTACTGTTATCATTTTTTAAAAGCAGGACTTTGAAAAAGCAAATGTCCCAGCTGTTAGTTGTTTTCTTTATATTATACAGCTATCATGAAACAGGAGCTATTTTAAATTTAAAGCCCCACATACGCAGAACACGAAATACCTTGCATGTTATCCATTCATTTTATAAAAGCCAACCCTTAAAGGCAAGAAATACAATTGTAACTACTATTAGATGTAATAATTTGCAGTGTTAGCGCAGGATAGAGAGAGAAGTTTGCTTCTTACAGCATAAGTAACAAAACCCAAATAGATGTATTTTATGTACATTAAAAACATTAATATAGGAAGAGAAGACAGACCCGAGTAAGGCCGGAAGGAACTGGTTTACTATATCTAAGGCTGCTATAATTTCTTTGATCATAGTAAATTCCACTCTGTGAGGGGAAAAAAAGAAAAGAGAAAAAGGTTGTATCTGTAGATCTTGTAAAGAAAAGTTCTATCTCAACATTGCCCACGTTACCAACTGTACAGAACATTGTAAAAATTTTCCCTATGGTTACCTCAAAATCCATGGAACTTTCTAAAACAAGTGCAAAACCCACAAACTTATGTACTCCACATTATCTGTATTTTAGTGTCCCACCCAACTAAAGGTATTCCTCCCTAATAAATAAGGAAACACTGAAAAGTTTATCTAAACCCTGACAAGTGCAGCATAAAACACATGAAAAACATATTTGACAAAACTTGTTAATAATTAGTACAAGGATTTGCTTGATCTTTTTTTTTCTTCTTTTTTTTCTTTTTTTTTCCCCCATTAGATATCACCCTGAATCAGAGAATTTGAGGAGAGAGGAGGACAACAATTCCTAAGAATTTAATAGGGAACGGATGTTGATGTGACCAGCATTAGTTTGTACCCTACCACTTTTCTTTATACCAAGTGTGCATACTGGAAGCCTAGCAATTATACTTTAGCTTATTTCCATTGGTTTTTTTGACACTTCCTACACAGATTGCATACATATGCAGATGTGAGGAAAAATTTGATATACACAAAGAAGAAAAAAAAAGTAGCGCTTTCTACCTCAATATGTCTTAGGAGGCAGAAAGATTCATGTTATGCATTTATTTAGAACTGAGGAAACAGGAAAATAGCACCTCAAAAGTGCTCAGAGAAGTGTTATAATTCAAATAATTATAAGTAAATATAAAAATTATTTCAGACTTGTCTCAATACAGTTGTCTCAATTCCTGGGAGTCAGGCTGCTGCTCTAACTCCCCCAACCCTTGATGCAACTACTATTTTATCAGTGCCAAAACCCTCCGATAAATTACATCAGAAGTATTTAATTTCTTGGCACTATATTCACATATGTTACACACTAAACTTTCTAGAATAGTTTTTGGAAGATTACAATCCACATGCTTTCGCAACGGTTCACTCGGTTAATGTCAAGGTTTATGGTAAATTCAATCTGCTTTACATCTATATTTAAAATGTATCTAACTGATAATAATGATAGGGGCAAAGTGTAAATAACAGAACACACATCTCCATCCTGACAGAGGATGGAGAACTTCAGTGAAGTTCCATTTTTAAATGCTTCCAAAAGCCTTCCAGAGGCCTCCAACAGAACATGATTTCTGTTCAGCTGATTTGATTTTCTGTGGGATTCCACAGCAGTCAGCTTTACATACTCAGCTTCAGGTCAGAATTTGGTCAATACTAGAGGTTTCTTTTTTTCCTGAAAACACTTATGCTTATGTCAGCAAGCTAATAAATTTATCCATAACTGTACTAGTATGCAACTCTACACACTTTGTATATTTATAATACATATTATAGTAGAAAACTAACCAATAGATCTTTATGGGAATAAGCGGCTTTCTTCTTGGAATTATGAGATTCACTGTAAGCATGACTCTAAGAATAAAATTTAGAAAATTAATACTATATAACAGCATGTTTAATCTTAAAATGTAAAGAAGTCAAATATAAGGATTTGAGATATTTATCACCTACAACCAAAACACAAGAGAAAATTCTAACTACAGAAATATGACCTATTATTCTAATTATATCACTGTGTAAAAAAGAACTGATAAGTGAAACTATACTTATCTCTGATTAACACACTTGGCTTAAGCCCACATTCACATTTCACAAAAAAATGTAAAACCAATAAATGATTTTCCATTAAATTAAGCTAAAGTTTCTATATAGAAATGGAGAATATAAATATATGCACACACACACTTTAAAAAAAAAGTGTGTCTTCCATCTCTAATCTGTACATCACTTCACTGCAAAGTTCAGCAATAACAGATGAATACAAAAAAGTGCTTACTGTAAGACAGCTGTCTGTAATATGGGCCTTCATTAGATTTTCTCCCAGAGAAAGTTTATAAATGCATTCTATGGAAAGTGTTAGAATCATACTGCTATTCTAGGTCTGAAAGTGTGACACTACAAATTTATATCTTATTTAAATCAATAATTTAAAAGTAGAAAGTTAGTGCCATGACACCTTCAAAACAAAGCATAAAAGCAATCTTCACCCAAATACATGCATAGTATTAATACACAGGTACCGAGTATCTTGTAGATCTATCCTTAGCACTGTCACACTGAATTAAAAGAAAATGAAATTGAAATCATGAAGGTAATAAAAAAAGATACAAAAATGAGCTTTTTTCCAAAAATGTCTTTAAAAAGTCTTAAAAGGAAGTTACACGAAGACATATTCTATTAATTATGAAAATTTATCCATGAAGGAATGCCATTTAACTAATCTAAAGGGCATTCTAAAGCTGGAATACCTTTTAATAGAAACCTATTTTTTCCCCAACTGCATCCCAATTTCTGAAGAGTGAGATAATTTTGGACAGCCTAGGTTATGTGAAAAATTTCAGGTGGCTTTGGTAACAGAAATTTAAACAATTAAGCGAAGTCTCATACTTTGTATTGAAATTATATTTAACTGAGACAGTATTTGTAGGTTATGTGGTAAAGGGCTCATCTCCACTCAGGCAAAAGAGTCCAGAGGACCATCAGTCAGCCCTGATGTCATCATGATGCGGGGGCTTCTCCAGGTCACCTTGCAGACTGAAGCAGGTTACTGACTACGGGGTATGGAAGACATTAGGGGATGCAAGGGAATAGCATTTTGGGATCGGGGGAGGAATCAAAGGTGGGGAAAAGGAGGGATAAATGTGTTTTCAGAAGGACCAAGTGTGTGAAAAAGGAGGAATAGCAGGATGAAAAGGCCACCTGCACATAAAGCAATTACTGGTCTACCAGACTCAGCAATTCAACAATGCTTACAAAACCAGCTTTTGTACAATAGCTTAGCCAATGTCCCCATGTTTCTTGTCACTCAACGGCAGCAAAATTTGTGGAGTTTAGACATATTTTTTTTTTAAACATACAAATCTTAAATTTTCAAAGCAAGCTTGTATTTTGTAGTTCATTTAAAATTTCACAGGTGTAACTTAGCCATTCTGACTGTAGGCAAATGCACAATCCAAAATGTTACTTAGTATCACCCTAAACTTTATTAAAAAGCAAAACAAAAACTGAAGGTAGTTTGAGAATATTATATGATATACGAATACCATGCTGGAGTATTACCCAGTGTAATTTTCAAGATGAGACCTACTAAGAGGATTACAAGCAAAAAATTGTCTATTGTTAAGTCTGAAAATTCGTTACGGAGATCAACATTAACATCAAAAATTCCCTAATTTCAGATTGGATATGTGTTTATAAATTAATATAGGCCAGGTTTAGTTCACATTATTTCATATAGTTTTCATATTACCTCAACAGTTCCAATATGTCCAATATTTATACTACATTAATAATAATAAATTATTTTATATAATTTACAGCCTATGGTACCTTTTTGTGTTGCTAGAAGTATTACCGTACAAGACACACTGGATACTGTATCAATTTTAGCCAACTTAACCATTTATTATTTTTCAAATAGTTTTTATCTTTAATTATTAACTACCAATAAGCAAGCTTTCTATCAGAGAATGGAGACAGATCACTAAAACAATCATTATCATCACAAGACTCAACTTACACCTTAACTATTAACAGCTTAACAGTCTACTAACAAATATTTAAGTTGCCTCAACTAGGAATACCACAAAATATACAGAAATACCCAATTCTGAAAAAGTAAAATTTCTGTTTTTTTTATTCCAGCCTTGACTGTAGGGCTGACATTGCAACACAATCAAGAAAAAAAAAACAGTTTTCTGCCATAACTTTTAGTAATATCTTTGTACCTATCGAGCTTGATGCACAACCTTTGCCAAATTTATTTTTAATTCTCTTTGTGGGGACACTAGAAGAGAGAGACTAGAGAGACCAATTCCCTTCAAACTTGAAGTTATCTTCAAGACACAACAATTAAAACTTTCTTTGAGCCCTCAAACTTGCTATCACAAAATTCAATTACATTAATCGTTGCAGCAGTCCAGGTAATAGCATTTTCTATAAAGAAGTGTGCTTTCACCAAACTACTGCTTTGGGAAGGAGATACAGGAAACGTTAGAATGTGAACACATGAAAGCATGCTCATTCCAGGCTACACACCACAAGATCTCTCCTTCTGGAGGTACTTGCTCTGCTTCTGTGAGACCCACTGGCATCCATAGAACTCTTAAAAATGAAATTATAAAAATATATCAGCATATAAAATGATTTTTAAAAGCTCTAATGATGACTGTTCATCTTCACTGAAAGGCACAAAATAACAAAGGTAGTCAAAGAAATTCTGTGTAAGCCCCCCCAAAATGAGCTCAATTACCTGCTGAGCTCAAACCCTATTCTTTAGTCAAGGGCAAATTACCTAATCTGTTTTAGCATGATTTGTACGTTAACTAAGGCAAGAGCAGATCTAAGCAAACCTGTACCACCTCACTAGTTTCTAAGTGTTGCCATGTAGTATGTTTTATATGCTTTTTCTGTAAACCATTTACTGTTTGCAAAGTAGTTAACACTACCTGATTTAAACAATTTATTTGGTAAAAATATCTGTGATAAATTGCCAAAACACTTAACACCAGGACTTGTGAGACGTTATGCAGAATTCAGTTACTCAAAGATTACATTTAATTGCTGAAATCTCTTATAAGTGATTTATTATGGTATTTCAGTCACACAAAGAAATAGCTTATTCCATCTTTCAGAAATAAACCAAATCCTTTTTAGCAATTTGTCCCTCTCCTGGCCTATATATCCAGATCAATGACAGGCTAATTTCTAGGCAGATTTACTAAAACCAAGAAAATGTTTACAAACCTTCAATAAAACAATTCTTTAGCACTGTATATGACCTAAAGAGGATACAGGAGAGCCTATACAATACCATAAATACTTCTATTAGCAATCTTTGGGATACCTTCTATAATTCAGGTAAGTCTTTGCCACTAATGAAAGAAAGAAATTTCTCAAAGAAATAAAACCCTGCATCATAACAAACTCTTCAAATTGTATCCTAAGGTGCTACTCCTCCCCTCTCCGCACCCCCCCCCCTCCCCCATATTATAGAAATGTGGTAATACTTAAAGAGCAAGAAATGACACAACAGTGAGCAGACTACTGTTAGCATCACTTTGGAATGAAAGCCCAAGTTACAAATCAGCACTACTCATTTTCTGTAATTGCACTAATTCAGGATGACTGAGTCAGCAGTAGTATTTAGTTTATTAAATAAAATTTGCCTGTTCACAGGATCTCTGAGATAGATAGGGAAAATGGGAAAGAGATTTTTTTTCCCCCATTAGACTTATCTAAACTAGACCAGTGTTTGATCATTGATAGCACCTCCACATCTGACCACTAGATTTGATGTGAAGCAGTATTCCCAAGACAATTGACAACTGCTGTAAGAATCTCATGCAGTACTCCATCATTTCGAGACAAGCCATTAATTCTTACTAGTTGGCAATATCTGAAGCCTAAGTGAGCACAATTACCCAGGTTTTTAAAAAAGAAATAAACCATATTAGACTGGAGTAACAGTAAAATATGACACTTGAAACTTGTCATTAAACATACGTTATTCCAAAAAATTGATTGTTGAACTACACATTTCCAACAGTTTTCAAATGCCTAGTAATTATTTTCAGAAATGAAAATATACTGTAAATAAAAATATGTAGATGAAAAAAGCATGAAGCATTTATCGTAAAAACATAGCCAAAGAACTAAAATGCGACAATTGAAATTCATTTTAAATTCAAAGATTGAAATACATGAAAATAAACTACCTTGTTAACACTGATGGAAATAAAATACTAGATAAACTTTAACATTGTATTTGACTTAAAATACTGATTCTAAAACTGCTAATACTTGGAACACTTAGAGCATCATCTGCTCCCTAAGAAAATAAAACCAAAACCCAAATTCTTTTTTATTTTTTAAAAGCCATGATGGAAAAGGCAAAGCATACACTTTGAACACAAAACAAATATGAATGTCGACTGGACCGGTGAGAATACCAGGCCCTCTGAATCTTCCTGAGAAAAAAGAAATGCAGAGTTATTTCATAGAAAAAAAAAAAAAAAAGAGAAAAAGAAGATGACAAACTAAAAGCAAGCAAAGGCGAGCAACATGCTGTTAGCACTTTTAATGCTATGTATTATAGTAATGCTATTATCATTTTGAATAATCTATTCTGGCAAGGGAACTCATTCAAGTTAGAACCATGATTTCACCCGATTTGGGTGAGTATGCCAACACACTACATTGCAAGTTGTAAAAAAGGGGGATTAATAATTAAGTTACTGTTCAGTAGTCAATCTTTTTTTCTGATTACTGTATTAATGTAGAAAAAAAGTAAAAGCTTTTTTAAATTAAGAATTCAAGTAAAAATGAAAAAAAATTGAAAGTTTTGTAAAATTACAAGTACAGTAGTAAGAAATTTAATATATAACTACTCCAGTCAGATTGTGAACATTTTACAAAGTTATTTTAGCCCTAATAGAGATGATCATTCCCAGTTGCCTCATACATATTTCAGATTTTCTCCTCTATTGTAGGAACAAAGCTTCTTAAGCAAATTGATCAATTTTAAGTTCTATAGGTAGTTCTGCTCTACAATGACAGTAAAAATAATAAACCCAACTTACAAAATTTCAGGGAGGACAACTAGCTGAGGTACCTTAGTATCTTTTGTTCTGTTGAAAGATCAGGGAATGTTCATTTTGACTCACACAAAGGAATACGTAAGAAGTAGCAGGACAAAAATATAACTACGTTAAAATTAAACATTAAAATGCTTCATGTGCCATAAGCTTCTCAAATTTTTTGTTACAGTAGGTAAGCATGTTAAGAATAAGCTTAATTTTCAACTATCCCATTTAAAGGCTACACCACAGTTCTAAAACTAGGAATCCTTCCTCAAATGACTCACTTTCTACAGTTTTCAATGTCAAACTACTCTGAAGATTGTATGCAAGTCATCTTTAGAGTTAAAAGCTCAGCCTCCAAACCATAGATGGGTATCTAAAGTGTAAAGCTAGCTTTCATAGTGCTTATGGTCTACAGTATCACTGGATATATCAACTTCTTTAATATTAATTTTGCGACTATCCAAGGGGCCTAGTTAATACTCTTCATGAAAGTAATTTCCCAAAGGAGGAAGGTGGGTGGGGAAAGAGGTTAATTTCATAATGACATTTTAGTCATCATGGAATCATGGAATTGTCAGAGTTGGAAGGGAGCTCTAGAGAGCATCTAGTCCAATTCCCCGGCCAAAGCAGGGTTGCCCAGAGCATGTCAATCAGGACGGTATCCAGGTGGGTCTTGAAAATCTCCAGAGAAGATCTTCAGATCAGAGAAGAGGACTCCACATCCTGGGCAGCCTGTTCCAGGGCTCTGGCACCCTCACTGGAAAGAAGTTTCTCCTCCTATTTGAGTGGAGCTTCCCATGTTACAGCTTGTGCCTGTTGCCCTTGTCCTGTCACTGGGAACCTCCTTTAACCCACCCTTTAGACACTTGGAAGCATGAATAAGGTCTCCCCTCAGCCTTCTCTTCTCCAGGCTAAAGAGTTCCAGCTCTCTCAGCCTTTCCTCAGCAGGGAGATGCTCCAATCCTTGAATCATCTCTGTTGCCCTACGCTGGACTCTCTCCAGCAGTTCCCTGTCTCTCTTGAACTGGGGAGCCCAGAAATGGACGCAGGATTCCAGTTGTGGCCTCCCCAGTGCAGAGCAGAGGGGGAGAATGACCTCCCCTCCACCTCCTGGCCACACTCTTCCCTACGAAGCCCAGGATTTCATTGGCCTCTTGGTGACAAGGGCACATTGCTGGCTCATGGAAAGTTTGCTATCCATCAGGACTCCCAGATCCTTCTCCTCAGAGCTGCTTTCCAGCAGGTCCATCCATAACCTATATTGGTGTCTGGCATTCTTCCTCCCCAGGTGCAGGACCCTACACTTGCCCTTGTTGAACTTCATGAGGTTCTTTCTCTGCCCAGCTCTCCAGCCCGTCCAGGTCACGCTGGATGGCGGCACAGGCCTCTGGAGTGTAAGCCAGCCATCCCAGTTTGGTATCACCAGCGAAATTGTTGAGGATACACTCTGTCCCTTCATCCAGGTCATTAATTAATACGTTGAACAAGACTGGACTGAATATTGACCCCTAGGGGACACCACTGGTTACAGGCCTCCAGCTTGACCCTGCTCCATTAATCACAACCCTCTGAGTTCTGTCACACAGCCAGGACTCAATCCACCTCACTACCCCCTCTTCCAGCCTACACTTCCTCAGTTTCCTAATGAGGATGTTATGGGAGACAGTGCCAAAAGCCTTGCTGAAGTCAAGGCAGATGACATCTGCTGCTCTCCCCTCATCCAGCCAACATCATAGAAGCTATCAGATTGGTCAAGTATGATTTACCCCAAATCCATGTTGACCCCTCCCAGTAACTTCCTGTTCTTCAACATGTTTGGAGATGACATCCAGAACGAGTCGCTCCATTACCTTCCCAGGGACAAAGGCGAGACTAACCAGCCTGTAGTACCCTGTGTCCTCCTCCTCCTTCTTTTTGAAGGCTGGAGTGATACTGGCCTTCCTCCAGCCCTCAGGCACCTCTCCTGTTCTCCATGACCTTTCAAAGATGATGGAGACTGGCCCAGCAATAACATCTACCAGTTCTCTCAGCACTCGTGGGCGCATCCCTTCAGGGCCCGTGGACTTATGGATGTCTAGTTTGGCCAAGTGGTCTCTAACCCCGTCCTCTTCTACTGAGGAGAAATTTTCCACTCTCCAGACCTTCCCCCTTGACTCGAGAGCCTGGGATTCATGAGGGGCAGTTTAGCAGCGAAGACTGAAGCAAAGGAGGCATTCAATAACTCCACCTTCTCTGGGTCTTCCACCACTGGGGCACCCACTTCATTCATCAGTGGGCCTACGTTTTCCCTATTCTTCCTTTTCTATTGATATACTGATAGAACCTCTTCTTGTGATCTTTAACTCAACTGGGCCACTAAGGTTCTGCTTGAGCTTTGGCCCTTCTAATTTTCCCCCTGCATAGCTTCACTACATCTTCCTTTCTATAGTAAGTGACTTGAGGTTTAAAATGAACATTTATGCAATATAATCATACAACACATAGTCAGATCAGTGCCAATTTTAAATATACTTTGTGCTTATGTTAATAACATCTGCAACTTGCACGCAAACAGTTTGCTATTCATCTTAATTTCTGGTATAAAACCCCAGCTAATAAAATGCTCCCAAAACTTCAACTTCTGATACAATTTTCTGTACATTTCTGTAGGTAATTTACTGAGGGTAACAACTCTCTTCCTTGCATACAATCAGAAAATAGAAAGCCAGTGTAAAGCGTTCATCATTTTCAGGTCAAAGGATAAAGTATAGACTGCAGTATAGACTGCAAACAGACAGCTGCTGGTGGTACCTATCAATCTTGATTTGTAAGAATTTAAGTTTGAAATACGCACTTCTAAGACAGAGGTTAGCTCTCCTGTTCCAGGAAAGGAGTGCACATCTGCTCTGAAATCTCCTGCAGCAGATCAGCCTCTAAGTGCAAAAAGGTGGCATTCGATTGCGTGGCATTAGTTTCAAGGTGAGACTGCTCACAAATGCAATCTGCGTTCCACAGTTCAGAAACCCTTGCTCTCCAGCAAAAAAGCATTCAAACATTAATTCCACCAAGAGATAACAGAAACCTATGTTGTTCTAAGTGACATGAGAACTAATTACACACAAGTGTCAGCTAGGTAAAGAGACAATATAAAGTCCATACAACTTTTGCAAGTAAAATTGTAAGACAGTTCTAGGATTTCTCAACAGAAGTGGCAATGAACTGTCATAGTAGTTTTAACTATTTGAAATTATGGTTAGTCTCTGCATGTATTACTTGAATCTTCTTGACTCAAGCATTCAGACAGTGAACATCTCCCTAAAAATATAAAAAAAGACTCATATCTTCCATGTGCCTTTTTAAGAGGCACGTGAGGTTTGTGAAAGGAACCCTCTGAAGAAACATTACACTAAATTAGTACAAACTGAACAGCATATTTCTCAGATTGTAACTTAACTATCTCCACTCCTTCCTACTTAGTGGATTTCATCTAAATAAATGAACAGTCAAATATTTTATCATTATTAATTGAAAGCAAGGGGTAGGCGGTAAAAGAACGCAAGTGATGCATGGGGTTTTTTGGGGGGTTGGAGGGTGCTTTGGTTTTTTTCTATATCTTTTACAATTAGGGTGTTGGGTTTTTTTTAAGTCATAGAAGTGATTTAATCGTCATTGAAAAGATGAGCATTTGCCACATTGCTCAGAGGAAACAAATAAATGCAAGTGCTAAGAGAAAAAAAAACAACAAACCAATCCCCAGAAATCAACCAAAATAAAATACTTACTTTTGAAAAGAAGTTTACCTAGATTAAAACTAATGTAACTTCATTTGAAATAGATTCATGACTTTAAGCCAGCATATGGTGGAAGCAATAAACATTTAAGAAAAGCATCTAATTTCATAGTTTGCCTTTTGCTGCCATGAAGTACCTTGCATAGCCACATCCATATATAGTTTATGTGATTGTTTTCAGTAGTAAAACACTTTGAAATTACACACAGCAAACCATTAGTAAATTACGTTCTCCAAATCCTCTGTTAGTTCCGAGTGGCATGCACAACAGGTTGCTTTAGCCTACCATCCATTTCTGTATATGAGCCCATTTTCTATCACATGAACGCTGAGAAAACTACAGAATGTAAAAACAAACAAACCATTGACAATATAGATTAGTCACCACACAAGACTGGATTCCTAAATCGAAAATTTGGGGAAAAAAAAAAATAAAATCTAAGTTAATTGCCCTGTAAACCTCAGTATAGTATCAGATACCAACAGCAGTTAGAAAACTGAAACTATGGAATAATGAGAACCATATAAAATTGAGGCAAAACCACATTTTGTATGCTGTACTTGTTACCACAGCAAGCACACCAAAACCCAAATATCAGCATTTACATGCATTTGAATATAATCATGATAAATAATAAATTTGCAATATTGCATGATATCTCAAAACTGGAATCAAATGCAATAATCATGAAATAATTAGACTGTCGAAAATCTAGTTCCTAGGTTTTTTTGCTCAAGAAATGCAAAAGTTTTTTAGGAGAAATAGGTGGAGCAACACACAGCCATATGTGTAAATATTATCCAAATTCTATTAATTTTTTAAAAAGAGACTATTGTGAACACTTTTGTTATAATCCATATGGGAAGAAACCAACTGAAAACTGCATAACCAAAGTCACATATATCTAATTACTATTAAAAATAGATTAAAATAATTTTCTTTATTTTTCAGTTGTTTACCCTATGCATTAGGCAGCGTACAATTTTGGGTATGGTCACATTTATTATTTATGCTGCCAGTTATCCATATTTACATAGAGCTTTTGCACAGCAACAAGAAAAGAAACTGCCACGTGTTAAGTAATGGTTCTTATAAAAAACATGAAAATCACCGACTGAATCATCCGCAAGTCTAATAATTCAAATCCAGACCATATTAAACTTTACATTAGAAGTTGAAAACTGTTCCTGTCTATGCAAAATTATTTATGCAAGTCTGAGTTATGGACATTGTCATACGTTCTCTCCTCTGTTTATTTAAAATTAAGTAAGCAGTAATAAGAAAGCCTCAGCCCTTTAAATAGCTAAAGATAAACATTTAGACTCATCTTAGTCCAATTTTGATTGCTAGGATTGAATTTACTGCATTTGTTAAAAGTAAAACATTCAAGCATCTGATTTTGCCTGGAAAGCCAGAATTTAAAAATCACATTAAATATGTTTTATTTTTCATTTGAAAGAAATAGTGGCAAAATCACATTAAATATGTTTTATTTTTCATTTGAAAGAAATAGTGCTAACCGCATATTTTGTATGTAAGAATTTTTTCCACAATATGAGCATAAATTTTAAGGAAGTTAAAAATTAATGTTTAGATTAATATTTTGTGAGTTGCTATCCACCAGTAAATGCAATGCAAGGTATCCTTTTAGATGTATAACCCAAGGGGAAAGAGGACTGTATAGGAAGAGAGAGAAGCTAACAGTCGCCTGATGCTGAAAATACTAGCACGCAGCTGAATTATACCAAAAGACAAAATCTGATGCAAGTAAAGAAATATAATACATTAAGAATTTTAGTAAAGGTTTGCAGTAATTCCCGATGATTTACAGCACCTCTTTTTGCTGTCGCTCCAGCTCTCTCATACGTATCTCTCTTGCTTCTGCTCGAGCTGCCCGTTTGGCTGCAAGCCTGGCTTCTGCCTACAAGCAAATCGAAAATACTAAAGTTAAACCATTATACAAAGAAATGTGTTTTTAAGTACCCAATTTAATAATCTCTTCTCAAAAACACATACAAATTCTAAGATAGCAATACCTAAGTAGTAAAGAAGTCCAAGTTCTCAGAATGAAATTTCAGAAAGGATACATCCTAAGTCTTTACAGATAATCATTACTAGTCAAAAAAATTACATGTTGATAGAAGACCTGAGTTCAGAAATATTACTGTCACTAAATCTAAAAATTCACGTCTTGCGGACTTTAACAGGACTTTGCCTATGCATAGTATTTAAACAAGCATGCATGCAGCTGCAGAATCTTTGGCCACAGAAAGACATGAAATCAAAAAAGAAAGAATCAAACCAAAGATATTAAACCACTGCTGTTCATGTCAAATGCTAGCTCTGCTATCATTTTGAGTTATTTCAAAAGGAAGTTGTGTTACTTTAAACAGCAATCATAAGATCTAATCAATTATTAGACAAGATACAAGAAGGAAATTTAAGGTTACAGTTCCACACGAATTATACATTCACCATCACCAAAAAGGGACTTCCCTACCTTTAAATTCAAGGTCTTATACTCCCAACACCTTCCTCAGACACAGCTCACGCTCTGAGAACCTGCTGTAAGCCAATGTAACCAACTGCCACAGCAGAAAGTTAACAACAACGTCGTTTTCAGAATTTTCTGCTGTGTTATTGGGATGAATTGGGTTGTACAAAGATCTTGTGCCCAGCAAAAGGGATGGGCAGGACAAACAGTAGCAAGACCTGCCCTTTTTCAATGGCAAAAAGCTGTACTTGAGATACCTGGTTATTGACACATAGCCTTGAGAATATGGACTTCAGTTTTTATTTAGTTATTTGTTAAACAAAATTCCTGCATCAGAACCTAATCTTGACAGGAGTCACACTAGACAATCCCTATCTGTTACTCGGAAAGGCAGAAGAAACTGTCTTCCCCACCAGATGGCTTATATTCTTTGTTAATCTGAAAAAGGTAACAGCTTCAGAATCTTTTACAACAGCTAGAGGAGGAACCTGAAGGTGGTATAAAGGAACTCTTCATGTTTTCAGGAGATAGGCATTTTTATTTAAATAAGAGATTAGCTGTCTTCAAATTAACCTTACTACAATGGGAAGACACTTGCCAACACTCCATTTGAATGTAGGTGGGACGTGGGTGCATTTACACTCAAGAGCCCCTTCTCTCCTTGCAGGGAACACCTGGACAATACTTATATCTGTTCCCACAGCTTCTGAAACAAACAGGATAAACTGGTAACCCTCTCTGTTGTACTAAGCTAAGACTTCCAAACTGATCAACTGCAACCAATCTTACTTAAGACACTGAATTCCTCCCAGAAAAGGATACATACATCACCTCTACTCTTCCTCAGTTTCAGTGAGCACAGGGAATTCACCCTGTGAACCCAACAGAATACAAAGTAGGTCCCAAAAAAGATCTGGTAACTCAGAAGCTCTTGGAATAAGGCAGTACTTCACTGCAATGTTGATGTTTAGCATCCCTGTGCCTTACTTAGTGCAGAGGCATCGCAGAAGAGCTTGTCTCAATGCAAACTCCCACAGCAAGTAAAAGATACGAAAGAACTCCCAACATAACAGTGCTAGAGCTGCAAGAAGTGAAGGCGAGGAGACAACCAACAGAGGAAAAGTTTTCTGATGCAGAGGAAAGATGGAGAAAATGAAATAAATCTCAGAATCTCATACACTGCACTAGAAGTCTTTGCTAGCATTACAAACTGATATTTCCTAGTGCTGCTTTGTGACTGCTCTGAATCCCAGAGCACTTCCATGCAGCTTTTCCATGCAAATCACACTGACTACCAGCCTTTTTCAGCATATTCCGTTTACCACCTCGATACTTAGAACACCTTCCAGGAACATTTTCCTCACAAGACATCTGACTTCTGGTTTACAGTTACTCAACTGCTGTAAGTAACATCTGCTAAAAAAGTAATTTCAGAAAAGGAAGTTGAGGAACAAAGGCTCCTTGACAATAAAAAGACAAGCAAGCCGTATTGCTGAGACAACAGCCTCAGAACAGCAAAGTACATCTACTCTATATATCCAGGCACTAAGAACTGGCATACCCCATGTCAGCATGGCAACTCCAGACTCCCCCCAAGCCTCAATAATAAGGCATACGTATGGTACAGTAAAATCAAATGTGAAGACAGTACTTAGTTTTGTTAACTGGCTTCTGTGGTGGCATCTCAAGAAATGCATTCTGTTCCTTTAAAGTGTAAGTTTACTATACAGTAAGTTGGCTAATACTATGAATTACAGCTACCAATTGAATGTTAACAGCTGCTGTCCGACGCGGGATCTGAGGGCAGCTTCTCCTACACAGACCAAGGGATTAACAACCTGACAGGAATACATATTGTGATAATGCAATATCCATGACGACACAACTTTCCACAATATTTTAAAATTGGATAACAATTTTAAATTAAGACTTTTAGAGGAAAACCTGGATATGGCAACAGAAAAGAAATGGTGCTATAAATGGCCTTGAAAATATGTATGTAAAGGTAACAAATCATTTTATTCTGAAATATGTTGAATACTCTCCTCCCTAACAAGCCATAAAAGGTGACCCTTGAAATGCCATAATATTAGAAAGGGAAAAAGTAATTCTAATAGGAAAACCAGAAGGAACATTTAGAACAATTTAATTTACATAGTTTTTTTTTGGAATTATTAATAGACATAAACCACTTAAGACAATATGAAACGGCTACCCCTTAAATGATATGCTGATCAACAAAATTTTAGTTATCTTTAGCAGACTTAGACTAATATTAGAATAATGAATGGGTTTTATAAGCTTTTTCAGAAAGTTGTTTTCCAGTTTATTGTTGACAGATTAATGTATGTTTAACATACATTAATCCTTGGAACAAAGATATTCAACTTGGTTATCTCTGTGAGATAACACCCCTTGCTATGAGACCTAGTATTATTTTAGTTCAGCATTGCGGGGGGGGAACCTTCCATTTTGTATAATTTACAACCATGCTCAAATTTTAATACATGCCTCACAGTAATTTTCAAGTAAGGTAACACTTATTACACCTTGTTATTGAGATGGCTTTTTTCTAGGCTAAATCGCAAGGTGATGTCACTGTACTGGAACCATGCACAGAATACTTGGAAGAAATTTAAAACCAGATTCCTCCTCCTTCATTAACTGTTTTCCCCAAAAATGAGAGATGAAACTTGATGAGTGAGACTGTACACAACCCAGAGCTCCACACAGAACATATCTGGTAGGATGAGAACTTCCAAGAGATTTGGTGTGAACACAGCTTCTGGAAAGTTACCAACTAAATGAAAGTGCCTTTTTGCTGACAGCACATTTCCTTTGCCTACAGTCTATGATGGCTATATTTTAAAATGCATACAGAAGCTGAGTTTTCAAACATTTATCAATTATATTATTTCAACATATTATCACTATACACAGGCATATATAGACAACAGTTTACATTACACAGCCAATTAGAATCTGCATTTTGCACTCATTTATGTCAACTAGGGTGAGCAGCTTTGTAGATGGAGTAACTCAAAGCTTCTGTATCCACTTGTATACAAACAGTACCAGTGCTTTTGTTTCCAAGTTTGAGCATTTCCTTCCAGAAAAACTCAAGTCCAAACAAACATCTGCAAGACTAAATTCCAGCTGCCTCCTTCCTATATCCGGTGGGACAAAATTCCCCTTTGTATACAAATTTTGCCTTTGTATCAACTTCTTATTAATTGCATTTTTGGTTGGTTACCTCCAGCTGTCTATTTTTCAGGTGGTGACTGTTAAGAAAGTCCTGGTGTAGTGTATATACTAGACTTATTTTGACAAAAGTGTGACTTTCCACATTTCAAAGATAATATATTACAAATTCAACACTAATACACTACAGCTTACAATCTTACACACTACAATGGGACAAATAGGGAAATATTAGGTTTAGACCTGAGACAGCAGCTGGATTTCTCATTTATCTTCAGCTAAACATATAACTATCCATAGAAATACCTTCTAAGCTTAAGTGTGATCCTATGAAGTTACACTAATCATACAATTAATATATCATTGTGACAACATTTCAGTAAATGTGACTGAAAATACTCTTCGTTTGTATTAATTGTCATATTTTTGCCTAATTACACTTTTTAATGCACTTTTTCCAGATAATGGGATTGCTTTCATCCCTACTTCTGAATTTAAGGCAATTTGAAATTAACAGACCTCTCTGGCAATGTTACTCAGAGCTTCATCTTCTGCAGAAAATCTGTCTTTCACTGGAGTTCTCTTCCGTCCTGATCCAGGAGTTCCCATTTTTATTCGCCGGTCCTATATTTCCCAAAACAGACAGGAAAAAGCTTTTCAGATGCAGAACTACAAACAATCCGAACTCCAAAACATAACACATTTTCCAATTCTTTAGCAATATAATATTCAAGAAACCTACACGTCATTGACACAAATTTATCCAGCAGTTGCATTTCTGGGAAAAATTTATCAGAAAATCTTGTGGGTACTTTATAGAACACCACTGCATCCTACGAGGTGCACACACAGCATTTTTTTACTAAACAGAACCCATCAGTTTACCTATAGCTTCAAAGTTATGCTTAACTGTCACCTGCTTCTAGTTCAATGACAATTACGTACCGCTGTCACTTTTCACAACTCCTAGAAATAAATATCCATTTAATTTTATTTCAAGTGAAGAAAACCTATAGGCAACAACAGTTTCAAGAATTACATTCACAAGATCATCAGAGCTCTCTCCCAAGCAGAAGAGAGAAATTCAGCAGACAAATTTTTCAAGGCATCCAAGCAACTACATGGGGCTTATTTACATTTTAATGCAGCAGCTGCAACTGAATGAGAACTGCAGTCATCTACTGAATTAGAAGTTTTGCTACAGTAGAAGATATTTCTAGACAAGCATTCTTTTGCTTAACAATATTCCTAATTTGAGAAATGAAGAGAGAAACATATTACCATCATACACTCAGACAATACCTAAAATACCCTCTTACTCTTCTTCCAGAAACCTCTTATCAATTGCAAGAATATACAAATCACGACCAAACCAAAGCATAGCATACCCAGCCACAGACAACAAAACATTACCAGCAAACATTCAAGAATTCCTTACAGTTTAATCAAAGGGATTGGCAGGGCAGAATGTAGCAGGGGTATTTTGTTGAAAGCACAGTTTTTACTTTATTATTTTTATACAGCAATCACAAAGCCAAAATATATTGTGGCAACTTCTGGCACTCGAAGATATCAAGTAGCATCACAGCTTTTTGTTTGTTTTATTTTAGCTTCTACACTTCTCCCCTCTATAACTTCATGCTGCTACTTCTCTCTTTTTCTTGCAGGCAGGAAGTCTTTCATTCTGCTTCAAATTCTGCAGGTATTTTACTATTCTCTAAGTGCTTTGATAAAGGAAATAGAACATTTGCTGATGAGAGAAAAGACTTGAAGCTAGATGTCCCCCTTATTAGAAGCTCCTGCATGGGACAGATACAACAATTACGCAATGATCTTATTCATCTCCAGTTGCTATTCTGAGATCAAAGCTAAACACGCTCAGGTGTCTGCACGCAGGTGCAGAACAACTCCATTGTGTAAAAACCTCAAAGGAGAGCTTGCAATGTTTGCAGAGGAATAAACCCACAATATCTGAAGGGGCCAGAGAAGATGCAGTTCCATCATCCAGTAACAAACACACTTCTGATGGGTAAAAGTAGACATTAGTACCCCTTTGACTTCCATCCATTCCTCCACCCGCTGCTCATTGGTTTTGCAGTGCAGAGTGTTTGGACCAACACTGAAGGCTCACCTGCCAGGGAGTGTTTTTACCATCTGTTTGTGGCTCATGGTTTAATTTATTTGTTACTCCCCCACAACATGATTTTGTTGTTGCCTGTTTTGGCTTTAATTATGGTGTTAGGTAGCAGAATACTTTCAGGAAGAAATACAAGATTCCAGCCTCACTCTTGAGTTAGGTCTTGAAAGTAGGGGAGCAGAACTCAAACTCAGGGCGAAGTGAGACTCCAGGAAAGCCTGGGAGAAATATTGCCACTGTTAATCCATTCAGTAAGAGTCTGGTTTTAGTATTAACAAGCAAGCAAACTTATGCTTTGTACTCAGATTGAGATATATAAAAACAGAAAGCAGTTTGAAGATCTCTGTGGCAAAAGTTTAACCTCAGACCTACAGGTTGCTGCCCATGTTCAGAAGAAATGTCTCAAAAAAATTTGCATCTTTTTTCAGTAATTCTTATTGGCTGACTTCAAATAAGAAAAACAGATAGAGCCCAAAGTAGAAGCTGCATCAATACAAAATAATACTCCCCTACTACAGAAGGTTTTCACAAGGTTATATGTTAGCCAAAAAGAAGAGAAAAAAAATTAAGACATTATGTTATTACAGTAGATCAGTTCATGTAAGCAACAGAACTCAAACCTACCTACTAAAAAAGTCACTAAGCATGAAATGAAACTCTTTCAATAGGTATATTACAGGTTGTATACTTAATTAAATATTTACCACATAAGTGAAAACTGTACATACCATAAACCTGAACTGCATTTGTGGACAACCTTTAAACAACACATCACTTTTAATAGACAACTAACTCTGGTTTGTTAATTCAGTGAGATTCTCTTAGCTGGCAGATTGAGTTGGAGAACTGAATGTAATAGGTTATATAGCTATTTTTAGCTATGTTGAGACTGACAATAAGTACTAATATATAGAGAGTAGTGAATTTTAAAAAGTTAGATGCTGATGCTTTAAATGAGCAAAAAGCCCTTCATCTCAAGCTTGCTGTAGCATTACTGTGCCAAAGTCACCACAGAGGAAGGCAAGCACAGCATCCCTTCCAGCCACCTGCCATGCTTCTCACAGAACTCACCGAGCTCAAGTCCGAAAAAGGAAGTAGGTACAGATTACCTAGAAGGTGTACAGAGATGTTGCCTCTGCCTGCAAAGAGGGTTTATGAAAGCCAAATTTCAGCTGAAGTCAAAAGTAGCAAAGGCTGATAAGAACAGAGAGAAAGGCTACTGTAAGAACACTGGGAACAAAAGAAAGACAAAGACTGTAACACCGTTGTTTAGTGACACAGGGGACATAGTGAGCGGTGCTTGCAAGGCCCACCCTTGGCAAAATCATAGAATCATATGGGGTTGGAAGGGACAACAAATGTAAAGAGAGGAATTTTCATGTGTGTGAATCAAATACGCAAAATTGTCCTGTCAGGATATCTGCCTAAAACTGATCATGTTGAAGAGCAAGAGCATTATCAGTTACTAGGGAATCAGCAAATTAGAAAGAAGTGTTCGAAATACAGGAGTCCTCTTAGTCCTCTTGAAAAGAAGTATATAAAAAAAATATAAATATAAAAAAAAAATAAAAAAAGAAGAAAGTCTGTAGCAGTGGGAAAGACCTTGGAAAGGAAACAGTATCAGTCAAAACCTGGTCTAATATTTTCAGAAGTCATCCTGCTGACTGCCTCATGATGTCTGGCCAGGCCAGACAGCCCAGCATCCTTCCTGGAGGATGCAAGGTCCTGAGCTCCAGATGTACTGGTGGTCAGTATGAGGTGCAGCAGGGGAGGAGAACCCACACCTTCGGTGCATGGACATGAGCTTGTGCAGTACACTGGCATGTGCACCAGGGTACTGCAGGGAATAGCACAGGTACACACATCTCCAAGAGGAATCATGTGCAAATAGGGAACCCTGGAGCTGAAGAAAATAAGGTAGTTAAACACTGGCTTAGAGGCTGTGAAATGTCCAGCCCTGAAGATATTAAAAACTTGACTGGACATGGCTCGGAAAAACCTGCTCTAACTGACCATGCTTTGGGCAAGAGGTGACTTCCAGAGGTTCCTTCCAAAAAGACCATATGATTGTGTATTTATTATTGCTGCCAGCTTTGAAACCAAACCTCAATATAAACTTTTTTTAATAAGATGTTTTAATATGCTTTCAAGGGTCTTGTCACAATATCTTCCATTTCATGTAACTTTTAATTAAGCTGATGTATGTCAGTGTATTTCATGACTTGTTTTACAGTTTGTTACACTGGCCTTCCTAAAGTATAAAGTTGATAAAAGGAAAGTGCCTTATCTGCTGCATTTATAGTTCAGAATACCTGATCACTTCTATCACGTTTATTTCTTACCGCAAACTGGGTTATACGCTGTATTACACAACTATGGAAGTGACATCCTGTTGTATTTCATTCCAAAAAACTGAAGTGCCTGAAGTCCCCAAACAAACCAGAAGACCTGTGAGGAAATCCCTCTCTCATTCACTTTCACTTCAGGCATACATAAATTTTATCTCTTCCTCACGTCTTTGCTGTCTACTCTTCTTCCCATTACCTTCTGATTAAAGGTTCTCTTTGTTTCTTTTTCACTTCCTAGAAAAAATCATGACCTGTCTTACGTAAAAGAGAAGCTACACTACAAATTAAGGCCCTATCACTCACCACCTTCAAAGGCACCACCTGTTCTGATGCCTGGGTCTATGCCAGTGTATTTGGCATGACATACATGCAAGGCATTCAGATACTACAGTGTGAACAGGCTATAAATAAACAGACTGAAACACTCTTTTTCTCTTTCAAGGCAGACCACAAGATAATTAAAATTCACCTGCACAGAAACAAACTCTGTATATTTGATCCAACAACAGAAAAGAGTAGCCCTCCTCTAGAACCACCAGCTGTTAGAACCAGCCTCAGAGTTCCCTAATTGACACTGGATTATAAGCCAGCAGCCCCTGCACTTCAAGTCCAGAGCCACAAACATAGAAGTTAATATCTTTAAAGAAGTAAATTCTTTGAATCCTGAGTAGGAGTTGCACTTTTTGTCCATAACATCCAGGCAAAGTTTCTTGCACTTTCAGTTGCCCACTTGCAAACCTTCCTACACACCTTTAAACATCTGAATTGAGTGGACCATAAAGGAGGTTCTACAGAATACCGCAAGAGAGCTAACTGTCCCTGCTGCTGGAGACTGGTGTCTTAGACATGTGATATGATAGGTTAACACTACTGGGAAGCTGTTTGTCATAAAATACCATCTGAACGTAATTTCACAATGTTAGAGTAGGTTTCTCACAGAATTTTATCTGTCTCCTAACAAACAAGACACAGCGCTAAGCATTTTCTCAAAAAAACCCAAAGATCTTATAGAACACGTAGTAATAGTCTCCGTGATCAATTTCAGTTGTAAGTTGATTCAATTTAAATTAGCAGCTAAATTCTTTGATTTCATAAGAACAAAAAGGCAACGAAGCCAGTGGGAAAGGGGAACTCTGACATCTGAATACAGAAGAAGGCTGGAATTTCTTGAAATCAAATTGTCTAAAAACCTAAAAGAAAGACTCTGAATTAAGACTCTTGAACAAGTAATGTTAGAAATACATTAACAAATAAGGAGGATGAATGTAAGAAGCAGAAGGAAGAAAAAACCCATTCTTCACCAGCAAGCCAATCACAGGCTCCTGATAAAACACAAACAGTAGTAACTCATTTTCATTTTTGACAGTTCCACAAATGTTAAATATACTACAAGAAATACACTTGTGAAATTTACTAAAAAGAGCAAGAGCTTTTCCAAACATCTAGCTAAAAAGAAAAATCTAAGAAGCAGGAATGCTACAAAATGATGGAACTGAAATTAAACAAATTAAATATACTTCAAGTTATGTGAACGCTTGCTCTTCAACAAATGAATACTGCTTATGAGTGAAGGTATAGAAGCTACCATACCCGCAATTAAAGCAAAGTTCTAAAAATTAACGTGCTTAGAAGAACAGTGGAAAATCCAACCCAGCAATTTTAAAGAACTATCACGAAACTGTAGCTCTAGCAACACAAAGCTACAAACAAGCCAGCAGAACAGCAGAAGTAGTATTCATATTTGCCAAGGAGCAAAAAAAAAAAAAAAAAAAAAAAACACTGGAAATCATAATCTTATTTGCTTAACCTTCAGTGCTTTGTCAAAGCAAATGCTAAAGGAGACAAAGAAATAACTGGACACAATAAAAATAAATGACTTCACACAAGTTAAAATTATGCAAGACTAACATACAAGTCTTCCCCAGAAAAATGCCCCTACATGAAAGTACACTCTTTGGAATCACAATGTCTGTCCGTGGGCCCAAAAGCACCTCAGCAAGAAAAGGAGCTGCATGATCATAGGGTGACCTGTGACCCAATCGAGGAGTATGTGGGGAATAAGAGATGGAAATAAACAGGGTTTTATTGCAAGAGTTTTAAGGGCTTATTTAGAATTTTCATTCAGAATAACCTTGTTCAAAAAAAGATTAATTGCATCTAGAGCTACTGCAAAAAAGCGCTGTTAATACAAGTTAAAAAGCCTAACGTTAAAAGGATAAAACAAAGTCTGAGAAAAGCATATAATTACTGTCTGCCAAAAGATTACAGTGCTTACCGCTATGATGGAGGGAAAGTTATTCCAGTTCATGAATAGTGTTTCCATTTAAAAAAAACCTGTTCATCTCTAATCACAGACCACTTCAGAAACTGCTGGCACAAAGTTCCTGCTCTGAGCAGACAAGTTCGTGGCAACTTCAAGAAAAAAAAGGGCCTCTTTGGGCAGCTGACAGGTAATCCAGAACAAGCCGACAACTACACAATCTACCCCTTTAACGCAGCATATTCACAATTTATTTGCCATTTTTAAATCTGAGAAATGCAACTTCTTGTGAGTTCACCGTGTTCAGGAATAGAATGACAATTCCTTAGAGAGGGTTGAAATCCCTCAGTTTGTTGGTGTTCTGAAGCTATGTGTAAACAGAAAGTCACTGGTTAAGACAATCAAAAAGCCATTATGCACTCTGCAAAAGTGTTGCCCAATGGAGCCATAAAGCATAACCACACCTGGTTAGTGTTGGTAAACTTAAAGCAACACAAGACAGTAACTGTACAGATGTATCTTACAGGGCTGCAGAACTACCAGGTACCTCCAGATCCACCACGCTATCTTTGGGCACCTTCCTCAGTCTTTGCAAATTACCAAAATTCTAAGACAACATCATGCAGTGATGCAACTTCAAGTAGTGGCATATATTTTATGAAGTATGAGTTTTCTGCCAGTCAGTTGCTAACAGCTGCACTTGGAGATACCATTACTCCACAAAATAAAACATTACATATATTATGGGGATAGATATTATTATTATATTGTAGGACACTATCATCAGTGACAAGAAGCATTGGCAAACTTCTTAGTACCTTACCAAAGGATCTCTCAGGGCACAATGTGAAGCATATGTAGGTTTCAGTAAAGCAGTGTAACACAGTTGGACTTTTCTAGAATCAGTGCTAACATAAATGCTGAAGATCCAGGAACAAAGAAAGAAATCAAACGTAATTTTAAAATATGAGGAAATGACAGTGCTATAATGAGCACCATGAAAAATGACAGGAATGCATTAACAAAAAAAAAAAAAAAATCACAAGAATCATCCATAAGTGTTTATTCTAAGATAGAACAACCATCATCTTTACACTGTCAACTTTTTCAAGATGAGTATCCTTTCTGTCATTTTGCAAAAGAATGATTCATTACTCATTAAAAAAACAAAACAAAACACTGCTACTATATTGAGGCCCCATTTTTTTAATGAAACAAACAGAGAGCCCCATGGCAACAACCCACATTCAGTAACAAGCTGCAACTATTTAAGATATTTTTCCATTACCAATTTAATATACTCCTACACTCCTTTTTACTACTGCTACAGTTACAGCACAAGGAAGAAAAGCAACTCAAGCAGAACAAGTTCTCTGGGGTCCCCCTTAGAGCTTTCTCTACCTGCTGTTCCTTTACTCAGCTGACAGCACTCCTGCTGACCAGCACTCTGCTTTGGTGACTGGCTGAGAAACACATGCTCCCACCTGGCCCTTGGGGAGATGCCCCTTCATGTCCTCCCTTGGAGCAGCTCTGGCTCTGCATGCCAAATACAAAAAAAATATAGACTTGATAAGCTCCACAAGCAGACAGCACTATTTACAGAAACTATTTTCAAGGACACGTAATGCATAAACACAAACTGTCCATTGCACAAACTTACACATTACCTAGTTTCCAGATATTCAAGATAATAAATCTGGATTACCTTCTCAGAAAGCATCTCTAATAATTTTTTGTAACACTACTGGGCATTACTGACCCGTAAGTATCTCCGCACAGCTCACATAAGGATCTTACAAACATGAGAAGCAACACGGTATCAAATTTGTTACTGGTTTCTAATCCTCTGCTGGCATTATATACCTGAGGTATTCAATTATATATGATACCAATCTTGGACACATGCGTATGACAATTCATGCACTATATGAAAGTCTAGACCTTAACATGTTTCACAGACCCCCTCTACTTGGAGTCCAGTTCAAACAGCACTTTCTAAAAGTTCACATGTTAAAGTGCCATGTCATCTTCTGAGACAATGACAGTCATTAAAAAAAAAAAAATTAAGCTATTTTGGATTCAGTTCACAAGAAGTACTGATGTTTAGAGCAACAAGCTTACATCTGACACATTTCACACAACTGTCTTCTGTTCTCAGCTACAGCCAGGAATTCAGTTCAGGTAAGACTGGCTTCATGCTCTAAGGTAAACGTCTCCAAGCCCAAGTAACACAGAGCAGTGGAAAAAGCACATCATGTACGTCAAACTATTCTAGGGCACCTTTCATCTGTTCTTACATCACCACTAAGCAATTACATTAACGAAGGAAGCAGCTGTATATTAAGATAACTGTTTCTGGGCCCCAATACATTTAATTACATCACTTTAGAGCCAAGACACAACAATGTTTAAAGAACTCACCAGACAAGCGTTGATTTCGTCTTACAGGAAACTTGTAACAAGCCTACCCCTTCCCATCCATCTTCAGAGATGTTCAATGCTAACATTGCTACTGTAAAGGGACAAAACTGATCCTAAACCTTCCTCATTTCAAGCCAAATAAGTCTGTAAGTCTCTCTAAAATGAGGGAGTCACTGAGTAGAACATACTAATTCAAGAAAGTACCACTTCATCTACCAAACGTTTTTATTCTCAGTGAAATACACAACATTGCCCTTCAAAGGATGAGGCCGGGACTGGGAGCGGGCAGGGCTGGGAACACAGCCCAGAGCTCTTCTCGGGCTCCTTCCAAACTCACCCATTTCTCTTACCATCCTCTTACAGACTATTTACCACTACAGAAGAGCATCCCAAGAACAGATCAGTAAAGGTGCTGTGAACTAAAAAGCCAGCCCGACGGAGCAGCAGCAGGCCTGACGGCAGTCACGGTAACCGCCCGCCGAGGGGCACGCCCTGCCGCCCGGGGGAAGGCGCTCCGAGGAAGCCTGAGAAGCAGAGCACCGACACACGGGCAGCTGTGATTTCGGGACACCTTCCTCTCCCTCACTCCGCCGTTCCCACCGAGCACCCAGGCGGGAACGCCACCTTCCCGGCGGCCTGCCCGCCCCGTGTCCGAGGGGCCCCGGCCCGCCGGAAGGGCTCGGGCGGCGGCTTCCCTTCGCCCGCCCGCGCCTGACAGCGGCCGCGGAGGAGAGGGCAGCACGGCCCCGCCGGTATGGTTTCTCCTTTCCCGTTCACCTACCTGCCGCGGGAGGGCACAGAGCCGACGTGCCCTCCCCGCTTCTCGAAACCCGAAGAACCGGGTTCGCACCCTGCTTCCCCGCCCCGCCCGGGTCCGTGCGTGTGTCTGACACCCGAGCCCTTCCCCCGGCCCTCACCCTCTGCTCGCCCGGGCCCCGAGGAGCCTTACCTGCGGGCCAGCCTGCCGCAGCACCGCGACTCCTTACCGGGGGAGGCGGGAGGTTTGCTTCACCCTCCCCTTCCACGGCTGCGAGAGGGCTCGCCGGTCCCGGAACGACCTCAGGCTTCCTTCCCTCGCTCCCCCACGCCCAGAGTCCAAGGAACAAGAGGCAGAAGCCGCCACAGGGCGAGCGCGGCGGCTCGCCGGGCACGGACCGTTCAGCGGCGGCAGCAAGGCGGCTGCTACCTTGCTTCACCCTGTTCTTCCCCACCCGACTTCCCCTAGTTCCCCCCGTGAGGCGCCCGCTGGAACCGGAGCGTTCGGCGGAGAGGAGCCGCGCCGCTCCAGGCCGCCCTCCTCTTCCCCGCCCCACGCTCTTGTCCCCTCCCCTTCTCCGTCGGGCGGTTACGGTGGCGGCGGGAACCCGGGTGGGGAACAGCAGTTCATTTCAAACCACCCGGAGGAAGGAGCTAGCGTTGAGGGGAAGGCGAACGGACGGGGAGAGGCGGGCAACCGCTGCGGCAGCGGCACATAACCCACGCCGCCCCGCAGCCCCTGGCGTAGGCCGGCGGGTCGGACTGCGCAGGTGCCGCCACGGAGGAAGGGGCGAGAGGGCGCCGCGCCTGCGCAGAGCGGGTGCCGCTTCGCCGGGACGGGACGGGACGGGACGGGACGGGACGGGACGGGACGGGACGGGACGGGACGGGACGGGACGGGACGTTACGTTGCGGTGCTCGGAGGGGAGGGGGGCGGGCGGGCGCGCGCTCGTGTCCTGAGGCGGCCTTTTCAGCTTAGGGACGGCGAGGCAGCAGTCAGACCCGGCGCTCAATGTGCTGCCGTTTCCCTTCTTCCCCGCAGGCAGTAAAGGTCTTGCCCAGTGAGGAGGGCTATGGGGGCGGCCGGCTCAGCTTCCACCCTCGCCCCCCTGCCCCCCCATCACCGGGCAGACTCACTGCCTGCCTGACTGCCTGACTCACCACTTTGGTGGGGAGAGGTAGGTCCGCGACCTTCTCCTTTGCGTTTGGCTCTCGATTTCGTTTGTATGGAGCGGCGTTCGTCGGGGGACGGCCCAGGCAGAGCCCCCGGGCAGGCTGCCGCTGCCTCGGCGGGGAGCGCGGCGCCAAACGCCGCCTTCAGCCGGGGCCGGGCCCGGGCCCGGGGAACGCGGCCCCGCTCCTTCGGCCGAGCCGGGGTGTCCTGCTCCCGCCGCTTCCCACAGCCGGCACCCCACACCCGTGCTGCAGAAGGTTTGTGTGGATGGGTGCCAGGCAGGGGGTGTGGGTAAAAAATCCTGTGCAGTCATTTATCTTATATGCGGCCTGAAACACTGCTCGTCGTCTGTACTATAAAAGTTTAAATACAGGCAAGCAACAAAATCCCTGAGGATAGCATATATAAAAGAAAGGACCGTGCCATTTAGGGGACATTAGGGGAAGGTGTCCCTGCCAGGGCAGGGGGGTTGGAACTAGATGATCTTTAAGGTCCCTCCCAACTCTAACCATTCTATAATTAAATACATTCCAGTTTATTCACAAAGAGCTAACTAAAGTTCATGAAAGTATTGATGAGACTGGTGTCAAGTAGATTTGGGATCAATTCTGTAGTCATTCAACACCTCTACCAGCAAGTGCAGAGTGTCTGTGAGGACAGAGATGATTAGAGGTCTGGAGGAGGTGGCATTTCCTATGTTAAAAATCACATGGGAATGAAAAAGCATTGTTAGAATGACAAGCCTAGTGGCAGGACTCAAGAACATTCACCAGAGCCCTTGGCAGAGGTCAAATGTCTTACTAAAATAAGCTGAAGTGGATGTGCATGAAGTATAGAAAAAGACGTGCAAGTGAATTAGGTCTATTATAGTAGGCATAAAACAGTTTCCTTGAGTTTCATTAGTATTTTACAACTGTCTGAGAAACCCTGTGCTGTCTCAGTCTCTTTTGTCACTTACCATGCAGCATAGCCTCATCGGGCTTATTTTTAACATCACATTAATTTCTGTAGTAATAAATTATGATCTCACCACAGGGAGATGAAGTAGAAAGTTTCTCTTGGAATACCAATTGGAAAGACCAAAAAATAGTACCAAAAAATAGGCTTAAAAACTACATTTTTATTTGTAGTTGATCCTTACAGAAGGACTTGTTTGCTGATTTTCTGTGCTTTATGGAGAGTCTTTACAACCTAGCTGGTGGGGAAGTATTTTGTTCCCTCTTGAGGAGAGTGGGAATTTCCTTAAATCTTGTATGGAATCTTCTGAAATGTGAGATATCCCAGATCTGTGTGGGATTATTCTCTATTAATATATTGCTATATAAAAGGGAAAAATGGTTTCAGTTGTTTGTACATTTTTCGCCGTTAAGTGTTGGTATTTGCATCTGTTTAGTCTTTTGATATCATAGGTTGCACATTTTTCTTTAATGATGCAGCAAAACACATCTCCTTGAGAGCAGACATGTGTTGTTGTGGCTTGAAAGAGCAATTGTTTACTTGACTGAAAAGTGGTGCACAGTGCAGTGTATACACAGTGCAGTCACTCCAAGCAGTGGTACAGGATGTCACAGCAGTGATTCCAGTTCAGCATTATTAATGAGTAGTTAAACAGTCAAGTTATATACACTATAAACCCTTAATTAGAAGCAGAAAATGAAAGTTATGTTAGAACTTTTGCTGTGAAATGGCTGCACTTACAAAATATGATTTATGAATCTGTCTTGGAGAAATTGTTATTGAAGCTGGTATAAAGCCTGCTCTGTTAATAATGAGTTTCTGCTAAAAATAAATAAATTAGTGAATGAAGTGTCACTGGATCTGCCTCTGAATGTATTTTCTCTTCACTGTTGCCTTGTTGTATGGTAGATTAGTATAGATTCCTTGTCATATGTAATGGAGCCTGCTGATTTACTCTCCCCTTGCCCTTTTCTCTGGAAAGCTTTCTCTAAAACTGTTTTGCTCAGTTGAGGCATTCCATTGGTGAAATCTTAGTTCTTTTTAGAGTGACGATCACCCGGGTAAGTATATCTAGGATGAATCTGTAAGTTAGTTGTAGGGAACACTTTCAACAACGTCAACTTCCTGCAATAATTTGTACGCAGTTTTAAGAGATTTTGTCACTGAAGCAACATTGATGAGAGACGGTTTACAGAAAAGAGTGTTTTCCTGTGTAATGTTTGCTATTTGTGCATTTTGAATATTTTTTTTTGTCCCTCTCTTTAGCACTTCTGATCTTTCCATGAAGCTTTTGGTTTGTGATTATTGGAGCTTCTGGTTAAGAATGACATAATAGTGATGGCACACATGTAGGTTTCTAGTCTAACTTAATCCCTGATGTCATTCCATGTATTTTCCCTTCTGTGTCCTCCCTATTCTTTTCTCCCCTCGCCCACACCTTCCTTTATGGAAAGAATATCTTCCAGCTATTAGTTTAACAGGTAGATTGGTTTACTGATGGAGACTGATTGGTTTAACATATCGTTTTAAGAAGTTCTGACCACCTCCATCCACTTATTTCTCTCCTTCCCATTTTGTCTCCTCCTTTTGCTGTAGTTTCCATCTCCTCAGTTGAGAGACCATCATTCAATAATTTGGTTGGCACAGTTTGGCACAACTGAACACACAATTTTTTTCCAGCTGTAGGAGATCCTCCTCTGGAGATTCCCAGTGTTGGTAGTAACTGCTTGTTTGCCCCCTCCTCACAAAAAGGGTGATACACTACTTCATTGTGATGGAGTGGAAAATCAACTTTGTGTGGCTATACTGTAAAGTAAATGCAAGCCCCTTTTGTAATGCAGGGTGCAACTTTTGCTTGTTTGTTTTGTTTTTCAAAACAGTTTGGGATATGCTTTACAGGAAGCTTCTTCCAGGCCCTTTCAGTCCTGTCCTCCCCTGCTTTCTGGTAAGAGTTCAGTTTCCACTAGATACATTTCTGTCATCAGATACACAGAGACTAATATACAATAAATAAATGTTTTCAGTCTCTACATTAATATGTGGGTTTGTGGCTTTTTAAATTCAAGAGGAAAAGAAGAAAAAAAAAGATGCATTGCCCTCCCTGGTTGACTGTGATCTTCTCCGCACTGATTTTTTAACTCGGAAATTATTAGAACACATGGTACATCTATGAAACAAAAGATCTGGGGAACCATAGTGATCAGACAGTTTCTACTGTAAGTGAAATGTAGAAGTTACACAAACAGGCACTGAGCAGTTTATAATTCATTACCAGACTAGTAAAATCTATTTTTAGGTACTGGAAAGCTAAGTAGGTGGAGCTAAAGAAACAATTATTCTTGTGGCAGTCAAAAGACATTTAAAATGATTCAGTACCAGCTCTGCTGAAGCAGTTCTCATTATTCAAAGTAATGTTGATTTTCAGGTACATTCAAAGCAAAGGTTTGCATGACTTCAATGTAAATGATGGGAAACAATTCAAAGGGAATATTTGAAACAGTTACAAGGCAGAATGCAGCTGAACGTAATCACAAAATTCTTTATTAAAATAATTTGTAGAATTTGTTGGAGTACTGAGGGACTACTACCAGGCTTCCTTTGTAAAGTTTTTGCATAGATATGACATTTATCAAGTAGTGGAAAAAAACAAGCGTTCAAAACTCCAGGCTGTGGTGGCGATATGCACGTTTCACAGCTGTTCTTGTAGGGGGTTGTTACAGATGAGGTTTCTGGTGGTGCTAGAATCAGTGAGATTTAGCTTTTCCCTTTATGTCATTTGCTTTTAACAGTGCAAAAATCTGTAGGGCACAGTAGGAATTATACATATACCATGCATTTTGATGGGGATTAGCACCCACAAATCTTTTTGGTCCTCTTCAGCAGTAGAATTCCATGAGTTGTTCTGGTTCAGATCCATCGCATCCTCGGCAGGGAGAGAGTCTGACTGTTGAACAGGGCTAACTGAAAAATGTCTATTCCAATGTTTTTCCTGAAATCTACATTTCCAAGTAAATGCAATCTGTTGTAGAAAACATCTGTTTTAACACAGGTTTGATAATTGACCAAGCAATTGTAAACAGAATGCTCCCACTTTCCAGATTTTTATTTTCACTGTTTTGCTTATTGTTTCTTTTTTTTTTTTTTTAAAGTCTTTTAGAAATAAGGTAAGTACTAGAATATTGTGTTTTATGTTTAGGATGTGTTTATAGGAAGATTTTTTTAATTGCTATGGATTAGTATCCACTTTTATGCAGTAAAATTTTAAGCACTAGAGTGCTCTGAATGGTGTCCGAAGATCAGTTTGTTAAATAAGAAATAAGGGGAAGATATTGGCATTATCTTGACCAATCCCATTTAGATATGTAGATAAATTATGAAATATCTTAACAAGGTTTGTGGACTGAAAAACTTTAAGAAACTGAAGCTATATTCAGAAAAAATGAAATTAAAGTTTTACTTTAAAATTTGAAGGTTTTCATATTATACATAGCGGTATATTTAATTTTCCTTTAGAATTTTTCATTATTATTCCATTGTAAAAACAATTAGAAATCCAAGTATCATTGTCCTTGCAGGCCTGATAGATGTACTTCTAAATGCCTTTATGTTCTATTTAATATATAATACCGACA